ATTCTGCCGCAGTGTTAGGTAGCATTGACAGATTGGTAGAAGGCTGTTTATACTTAGACAAAGGCCCTCCGCCATCAACCTTACTCCAAAACCCAGCATAGTAGTAATTGTATTCGCAAACATACAACGTGTCTAAGTTAATGCCCAGAATAACTCCTTATCGAAGTACTTATTCAATGAATACTCGGAACTGTACACTGTGCTGTTTTGAGCTGTCAACGTCTTATTTGCGATGTCACCAAAGCGAGGAGCAATGTCAACTAAGGCACGAATACGATGGAGGGGAAGAATGTCGCCAATTATTCTTTGATCTGCCCTCTTTGCCCTTTTCAGGATATACAGGGAGGAATATGGATTGGGAAATGGTCCTTTAGCAGTTCTTGAACCAGATATTGATTGATTAACCTGGGGCACAATATCAAAACGCTGAACGTAAGCCAAAAACTGATCTGGGATATGCTGCATTGCCAGAGTTGGGACAATACGAAACACCACTCGGACATCGACAACAATGTGACCTAAATAATTGACTGTTCAGAACATCGTTCTATATACAGGCTGAAGGAATCAATAAATACCTTTGAGGCCGCTCTGAGGCCATTTTTCAGCAGGATCGACATTTGCTATAACAGAATCATAGTGGCCTAGTGGCCACTCAGGAGATGGTGGGTACGCGTTGACTGTGTGGGCGGCCAAAACGCCATGAGGTGCATGGTATTCTTTTGTTTGAATTCGGAGCTGGTTCCAGACTTCAAGATAAAGAAAGGGAAGAGCGCACGTGTCGCCTGACAATCGTCGGCCTCCAATAAGAGTGGTAGAAGACTCCTCTGTCTGCGAGATTCTTTGTCCATAGTCCCCTAAGGCAGGTCGGAGATCCGGAAGGTTGAACAAAGTCGCAACATCATCGACAAGCATGCGTTTGAAGCTGGGATCACGGGTCAGATGGAAAGTAGAATTTGGTGAGGATTGGTGTGTTCTGTGAGGGTGGGGAGCATTCGGAATCTGACCAAGCTTAAGTTGAGACGCAATCTTGAAATAATCTACTGTGGGGCGTGTGGAGCCAATGAGTGGTGATACAAAGTCTACATTGGCGAGAAGGTCAGCGGTGGTACTGATATTGAAGTGACTTTGTTCTCCGAGTTTGTCAACAAAGGTGTCTGGATCTGGAATAACATTGTCGCCTCGAAATCGAAAGTCCAGTTTAGACTCGCGAATACCTGTAGCCAGATCAAAATCACGTAGCTTGTCCAAGCGGTCAAGGTAACGACATATCTGTGGTTCATGGTTTTGGTTGTTGGCAGATTTTGTAGGATCTTTGACAACCTCAATGTGAGCATGCTCTGTAGTATCAGCAGACCACTGAATTGCAACCCCGTTTAACTGAATATTGGCAACGACACTTTGAAGGAACTCCAGCTTGGGTATGTACCAGTTTAAGATTGCCTTTTTCTTTCCTCGCCGGGCTCCAGCATCCAGAATGGCTTGCTTATACAAGTGGAAGTCGTGAAGAGCCTTTTGAATCTGATCACAGGTGGCTTCGTTAATGACTTTTGCTTGCGCCAAATAACGGAAGTCGAGAAGTGCGCGGATAGCTCCAATGAACATTGGAGGAACACCTTGAGATAGAACAGACACAATGTATCTTTGAACGTCGCGATGCTCCCTGCCAGTCACTTGTTTCAACTTTGATATTCCCTCTTTGAAGTGTCGAAAGCCGGTATGTGGCTTCAGAACTGAAAACCGAAAATCAATTTCCTGGCCATTCTCCCCAAGTGCGGTGATACACCATTTGACATCATGATCCCAGAATTGTTTGTGCCAGTGATGAAGAGGCTCCGGAGTAAGAAATACAGATGGATCAGAAAGGGGGTAGTCTCGCCAAAATGGGCGATGAACACCGTTGAGGTGAAATTTCTCCTTCGATTCTTTCATATAAGACTCCAAGCTCCATGGGTTTACAGTCGATTCTAAGGCCATCAGTTGCGCAAGTGTTGTGGAAGCTGTTCAGGGTTCATGACGGAAATTGTCGCCCAACTGTTTGTAGGTTGCCATCGTAACAGAAGAAGTCTTCGCCCCAACACCTGATATTAGTGCAGATTCAGGTGTGTCCACGATATAGGCAGCTAAAGGAGTGAAACAGAATCGACGCCAACCAAGTGGATCCGTCATCATAATTCCAATCTGTGCGGCTATCTTGAGTGGCTTGAGAATGATATCTAAGCAGGCGTGAAAGAGGCGGGAAGCTAGAACACCCTGTACTTTCTTGCTAAGGTGGATAAATGTTGCGATTGGCAACAGCGCAAGGAGCAGAAATAAATGGTTCAAAGATTTGTTCCGGGTATCCATGTCTATATTGGCAAGACTGATAAGAAGAGGATGCGCCATTCGGTTCCCTGTTTTCGCAGATATATTCGTCTTGTCAGATGATAAAACTGCTCCTAGCAAGGTAGCGCCCACTGGCAATTTTTCCTTCTCAAGGACATCAGAATAAGTCAGGATTGAGAGTGTCATAAACGTACCTGCATGGACCATGCAGCATCTCCCGAGAGCCACTCTGTATAGACTCTCATGGTCTTCACGGCGGACTCAAACAGTCGAAAGGGGCCAAATTTTATGGAGCGCTCTAAAAGAGGATTGCGCATGAGAGACTCCAGACACTGGATAGGGTCACGATAGAAGAGGTGGAGCTTGTTTTTGGTAGGGACAGCCGTTGTAATCTCCATGGTCTTCCAGGCTGGACCAGCAGGAAGCATTTCAGCTCTGTTTCTAAGGTCTTTGGCATTGCAAAACGATAGGCCAAGATTCTGAATCTATGGATATTTGTGTAAACAGGATTATATGAAGAGGAATACCAACTTACAACCGTTAACTTGAGGAATTTGTCCGTAGATGCCAAGCTTAGGTTTGACTGAAGCAGAAAGGAAGCAAGTTCCCATTCATCTCTTGAGGCAAACGGGTAATATATATTGAACTTTCGCTCTTCAGAATGCGTGTCTTGATCAAAAAGGTCCATAAATGTTGACCCAGGCCCATAGGTTTCAGAGGAGTTTGGATAGTGTTCTTTGAAATAGCGAGCTGGTGGTACGTCTGGATGAGATTCCGTTGCTGAGATTGTTGGAGTTCTTGGTGTGTCGACAGGCTCCTCAGAGAAGTCTACATCCATGTCCATAGGGGCAAAGTCTGGCTGTGTTCCTTCTCCATGAGACCCATAGCCTGAAGCTGGAGCCCCAACATCAGGGCTTGTAGGTTGAAGTAGCGTGGATTGAGGATTTCCTTCAAGTTGTTTCAAGAGACCCGTGTTGATTTCAAGAAGTTCATTGTAGTGGATAAGGCAAGCAGAGTATGGCTGATTCAGGTGGTTTTGCACTCGAATGTTATCCTTGAAGCTCTTTCCACAATGCGGGCAATACACCTTCATAAGAGTAGAATAGATGACGGCAAAATTTCACAGGTGGCTCAGCGCTGACCAGCCAAATACGTGAGAAAACATACTTCTGCATTCTTGGACACAATGTTTCTTCCCGTGACAATGAAAACCGATATGTAATACTAATGAATCTTGTACCCTCTTACCCTTCAAGGCCAAGCGATAAAGAAGTAAGATTTTGTCTTACGTAGCCATAAGTCAAAGTAAAACTGTACTGATGTACAACTCAGCCAGAAGACCCTTAGAACAGTTCTTCCCCTTCATCGTCGTGATATGTGGCATGGCTTTTTTCTTGTTATCGATGATGCAGTTGGGAAGCGCTGCTTCTCGGTTGTGTGGAAAAGGCCCAGCCTTCCAAAGTAACGATCTCCAGATGCGCTTTATCGATAATCTCGGACTCCTGTACTTGTCTTCAAGTGATGAACGATCGATGGGGATCATGGTGGTATGGAAAGTCAAAGTATGACAATAAGATTACTCATCATTATACATTACTCACGAATATTAAACTGGATATCTGAGGATGAGCTGTAAGTCCGAACTTCCGAAATCTCCCACCCAAGTCCATCACAAGACCCATCTTGCGACCCAACCAATCACCAAAGGAATTGCCTTGGCACATCCTAGATTGACTTGTTACTTAGATAGAAGTGAAGGGATGTCAGGTCACATACAGGTTTGCACGAAGTTAAGTGGGAATGGTAGATGTCAGGATTGTCGTTCCACCAACGTGCATTCAGTCTCTGAAGATAAACGGGGGCGACTCAAGGTATGGATTAACTATATGAGATTAAATTGTAAATTGTCAGACATGCAGCAATTTAGATATTAAGAAACGGACAGCATACCTCCTCATAGAAAAACAACCATTCAGCCTGCCAGGAAGCATGATCATTGCCATTCAAATGGGCTCCTTGAACAATAGGTGACACATTCTCATATGTCACAAATGGTATGTCCCATGGACTTTCACGGGATGAATGTCGCTGGAGCAGAGAGACAATACGTCCCCATGCTCTTGCCCTCCAACGCATAAGTATGAAACCTGTAATATAGATCTTCATTGATAATACTTCTTACTAGCAAATATGGGTTTGGACTTACAGAAGTGACAGGTAATAAAGTCCTGAAAAGTGGGGCAGGTTAGAATATCACGTAGAGGTTCAAAAAGATCCAATACTCACTGAGTAATAAAGAGAGCAGATAAGACAGCAATAGGAAAGCAGGTAGATAGCATGCAGTGAAGAATGAAATGAAGGAGTGCGATGGTGTATGCGCGCAACACAAACGAGAGGAGGGAGGACGATTAGCGTGAAGAAAGAGTTCAAAGTGATTTTGATGGAACTCGGTACGGTTGCGGGATGTCACGTGCGGGTTTCTAATTGTCAGAAACCACCCGTCTGTCTCTCTTGACCATTCCCTCCCTCTTCCTGCTCCTAACGCCTTCTCCCATGCAGCACTCACATCACCACCCCACATCTTAATAAACATCTCTCGGCCTCGCCTAGTTTCCTCGACGCTCAACACCGTCGATGCGGTGGACACAATTGCGGCGACCTTGGAGGAGGACACAAGAACTACGCTTTGGCCTCCACGTCGACGGGATGCTGAGCATCGTGGGATCGATTACCATCCCCGGTTCATTGACCGTGAGCTCGTGGATCCGGTACGTTCTTCCCTGTTTTCTACGTCCCCTTTTCTTCGATACAACCTCTACCCCTAGATCTGTCAATAGCTTTCACCCACAAGGCAGACGGAAGATGCATCTTGGCTGTTGGCTACTCAAATTAACTTGTGCCAACGTATCTTTTTGTTCGAAATCCGGAGACGGAGGCAGAGCATACGTCCCGTCATTAAGCAGAAGCTGAGGCGAAACGGGTTACTTAGCAAATCGACGAAGAACTGCAGGAGGAGCGGGCTGCGGGAGGAGCAGGAGCGATCGGTGAAAAAGAAGGGCGACGTCAACGTTAGTGCGGTTTACCCTTATGCGCCCCATCTACTCATCTGCCCTGCTAGCAAAAGCCAGCTTGGGTTTATCACTCGTGCGAGTGAGAAGCGGGGCCCCACAGTCCAACTCGAATCAGAAACGCTCGCATCTCCCCTCAACCTTCAGCTTTCTGACAATGAACTGGATGATATCCTACAGCTTTCTTCGCCAGAGTCATCTCCGTCTTTATCTCCTCTATCAGCCGCCGTTCCGTCTCTAAATATACCAACGGGAGAAGACGCCGACCCAGACGACCTCTCAAAGGATCTGGCTGTACTTGAACGACTTCACAAAAGTGTTCAGCAAAACTTACGGCTTCGTCCTATACGCTCTCGCAGCAACCTCAAAGTCGACCTCAGTGTTGAATTCTCTCCTGCCAAAACCCCAAGATCCCCCTTCCCGTCAAGCGCCGCATCTCCTTCACGGAAAGACTCTGACCCTTTGAGCGCAATCAGCCCTACGTCCAGCGTGTCTTCATCATATTTCACCCCAATCGCTGAAACACCTCGTAGCAGCCTATTTGCAGGGTCAAGCCATGCAGAATGCTTCACCACCGTACCAATCCCGCAATTATCACATCCCCCCAGTCCCATCAGCCCCAAGATTCTATATGACCGCATGGTGTCCCCAAAACGTCCTTTGTTGATTGATACTTGCACTTTGGTCTCTCATCAAGAATTTCATGTGCAACATAGCATTAATATCGCCATCCCCTCTCTTATTTTGAAGCGCTGCCTGAAACCTGGCGGTGGATTCCAAACCCTTGACGCGTTGCGTCAGTTTATCACCTCTGATCAAGGGAAAGCGGAATGGGATAACTTCATGCGTCCAGGAGGCGCCTGGGATGGGGATGTGGTGGTATACGATGACGAAATGAGTCTTAAGGACAAGGACAACGCTAGTATCACTGCGTGGGCTGTAATTCACGTTATATCCCCACTGCTCAGCTACGGCAGTGTTCATTATTTGGATGGAGGCATCTCTATCGCAGGACATCACCCCTATCTCGAAAGATTGATCGTAACACGACAGTTCGAGCAAGGACCAACTTACAGGCGCGTCTGTGGCGATCAAGAAGATCATGAAGCCATTCAGCACACCGGTGTTGAGCAAAAGAATGTACCGGGAGCTCAAGCTTCTCAAGCACATCCAACATGAAAATGTGAGTGCCTCGGTCTTCTTCGTTCTCGTCGTTCGCTGTTCTGACGAACCTCGTTGTGGCCAGATTATCAGCCTCAGCGATGTCTTCATTTCTCCTCTCGAGGATCTGTCAGTTTTCCCTCCAGTCCGTTGGAAGATTTATTGACGAGCCCTGCGGCAGATACTTTGTGACTGAACTCCTCGGAACTGACTTACATCGACTGCTCACATCTCGGCCGCTGGAGAAACAGTTCATCCAGTACTTCCTTTACCAAATTCTGGTGCGTTTCCTCTTGTCTCTTTTAGTAATGAATGATTCTCATCATCATACCTCTGACAGCGTGGTCTCAAGTATGTGCACTCAGCTGGCGTGGTTCATCGTGACCTTGTACGCTATTTTATTTACCGAGAAAATCACGCTTATTGTTCAACTCGTGATAGAAACCGAGCAACATTCTTGTAAACGAGAACTGTGATTTGAAGGTATTCGGATCTGCTGCTCGCGTGACACGCTGCTGACCTTTCCTACCTTTGCTTTTCAGATCTGCGATTTCGGTCTTGCGCGCATTCAGGACCCTCAAATGACCGGCTATGTTTCCATACGGTACTATCGTGCACCAGAAATCATGTTGACATGGCAAAAGTATGATGTCGCTGTCGATATCTGGAGCACTGGTTGCATTTTCGCAGAGATGCTCGAGGGCAAACCCCTCTTCCCAGGCAAAGATCGTACGTCACCGTTCATTCTCTGGGTGCAATGTTACAATATTTTCCGCCGTCAGACGTTAACCAGTTTTCGATCATCACGGAACTATTGGGTACACCGCCCGATGATGTCATCGAAACCATATGCACCGAAAATGCGAGTTGTCGTCGTGCTTGTTTTGCGTGTGGCTGTGCGAAAGACGACTAAACACACCTTTTCTTTCATTACCTTGCGACCCACCTATGGGCCCTCCTACTTGCAAAATCATTGTTGTCAAGTCGATGTTGTGTTTGTGTGTTTGTTCGGCCAGCTTCCCGTCGCGAAGTACCCATGGATTCGACTCTCGCCGCGAACCCCCCTCGTCGAATGGAGTTTCATGACGAGCCGTCCAATGTTTCCGCTCTGGGTCGTTCAGCTACTGCCGACATCGCCTGGAGACCCGACCTCCCGCCGTGAGCAGAACGAAATCCGATGATCACTTTCGTCAACTTGTACTGATATAGAGAGAGCGGGGAGATGTTGAGATTGAAAGGATGCGCGAAGAGTTAGCACATGGACTTCATTGCAAAGATGTTCGAGTGCATCGGCTCTGAGTGAGTTCCTCCTTCCGTTAGACAGTCAGACTTGCCCCCCTTCCTACCTTAGCTCGTTTTCCTCTTCTCTGCCGTGCCGCAACCATACCCCTCCTTCTTCCGTCTGCCACTTAGTCTAACATGCTGACAATTCTGTGACAGTTTCGGTCCTCTTAACCTCGTTTGTGAGCGCCATGCTTGAAAAGCGTACAAAACCGCAAACCACAGATTTCTACTGGTACGACGATTGAAACATTGAAATTGGGAAGTTTACTGAATGCTTACGGTATGAACAGGATTTTGAATCAACTTTTTTTTGCTTCAACTCCATCTTTGGACTACCACCCGGTAACGCGCTCGAAGCGACTCCGTTGGCTCAAGTTGATCGTCAGTATATCTTTCTTGCAAGTCGACAACGCCTGCCCCAACGGCCTTTCCTTTGCAGACGTGGCAGGCGTTTTTAACGATGCGAGGCTAATACCATATGTTTTTTAGACGCTTCGATTTGTTTAAAGCCTGCCAAAACTTGAACGCATTCCCTTCAGTCAGAAGCTATGCACAGCGGATCCAGATGGTCCGTATGATATGATGTCATTGTATCTCTTCGTTCTGACGACTTCCGCCCACCTCAGCTGCCTCCAATAACCGGCTCAGTGTCCAAGCTCAGTGTCCGAGTTGTATGTCGTCGAGGAACATCATGCGCGTCGCACCGTTGGACTACGTTTCAAGCATAGGTAACGCACTTAGTCTTACTGTTTATTACGCATATATTCACCTCTTCTCACCAGACGACATCCTTCATGAAGTTTTATGTACTAGTGGACTGTATACCCCAACTCTAGCTAATTTAATATATTTCACCATGAAAGAGAAGTTGACTGTCAGAATGACATTGAAAGTCGGTACGGTTGCGGCATGTCACGTGCGGAAATCATAGTGGTTTCAAACCACTATGCCCTACCTCCTGGATGACTTTGAACTCGGAATTTTGGTTGGCGTTCTCAACCAGCCTTCAGCGCAAACATCACCAGACCCTTGCATCTCAGCCTTGCTAGGAAAACTTGAACATGCATGGCACAGTTCCCAGATGCCGTTCGCATCGACGTCCAAACTTTTTTGGAACAAACATCTTGACGCCGACAATGTGGCGAATCTTGACGCCGACAATGCTGCGAATCTTGACGCCGACCAGGCGTCTATTCTTGTTGCTCGTCATCATGGCACTTACTCGGACTCGGACGTCGACGACAATCTCTCAGATTCTGACAATCCAAATACAGGGTTTCAGGTATGTCATCCATCTTCCCTTGTATCAACCTTCTATCTCTTCTAATGTCCTTTCTATTAGACACTACAAAAGAAACGACGCCACAGTGTTAGTCCACAAGGGGTAAACCAGGTCAGTCTATGCGTACTTCTCTTACACAAACCTGACGTTCACTGATTACGACCATCAGAGAGGCATCTACTTCACCCAGGAGGAAAGGCTGGAGGGGGGGATGGAATTGGCGGGGGACGGGTTAGGTTTATGGATGGAGGAGATGGGGGGGCATGGTCTTGGGATAGATCCGGGGCGGATGGAGAATGAGGCAGATCTCCAGGATGACGGACAAGATCGCGGGCGATCCAGGATCATCGCCCCCCGCGGTAATGGTCTCTGTGGCGCGGAACGAGCTGCAAAGCGCCGCAGGCTCGCCCACGTCAACGAAAACATCATCAACGGAAACGCCGTCAATGAAAACGTCGTCAATGGACACTCCGTCAACGAAACCATCGCCAGCGGAAGCTCCGTCAACACTGCTGGCGGAAACCACGACGTCGCTCACGAAAACATTGCCAGCACTGTCAACGGAAACGCGATCAACGCCAACGTGTCCGCGAATGCTCCTCGTGTCCATGCTCGGGCTCGTACTCCCTGTCGGCGAGGAGGGCAAGCACCTCCACAATTTCTATCTGGTGCTCGCCGTCCTGTACAACTTGCACATGCGGAACGCCTCATGTCCTCCATCGTGAATGCCAGCCAGAATCTGGAATCTGTGAACGGCCAGTCCAGGGCAGCCATGGACGCCTTTATCAGAGGTACCCCTTGGGGGAGGGGGACAGACGCATTTCAAACCGACAGCCTCTACTCCTTGGCGCAACGTTGCTCTCAGGCCGAAGAAGTTGAGAAAGGGGTTCATTTTATCAGCATGATCAACACCATACAATTTCGTATGAAGATAGAGGAGTAAGTACCTTTCTATCTTCAGGAATATATCTTTACATTCTTTTCTTTGGCAGTATGCGTGTCGCACATAAATACAAGAATAACCGGGATGTTTTACGAGACTTCCTTTCTGACTTCAAAAGTGTAACTTTGGATACCAAGCAGAAGTGGGCAACTCAAGGCAGCAAATTTGCTGGTCTTGCAAGAGCTGGTATGTCTGATATGTATTTGTGTTTTTATGACAAGCTCACCTCATGCTAGGATCTATATACCTGCTTATGCTGATAGCGATAGCAGGAAAGAAGACTTTGGTGACTGAAATGTCAGGAGAAGTTCTTGGACGCCTTTGCATGGCTATTCGAAACCCAGACACAAGTCAGTTCTCTCTTTGTATATCAGGCTGATACTCACACTATCTAATAGATACTCCCTTTGGCCGTCAAATGGTCAGCGATGTCATCCCTGCTATAGATGAACTTCGTAGACAGTTTCCTGTATCTTTCTCCACGATGTTTTCAGCGGGCGCACTGAAAACATTATCATTGCCTGCTCAAATTAAGTGCCATGACCTTAATGAGTCGGATCGCTTCTTTGATTGTCTTCCCCTCAAGTATGTTTATCTTGTCTCCCTTCAGCTATTCTGCTAATATGAACGCATAGCACCTTCACCTCAGAAAGATGTCATGGATCTTGGCAACCTTGTCTGGTTCCTCTTTCCTCCCAGCCAGCCTCTCTCCTACCCCTGCACATTATGAACAGGACTCTCCTTAATGTGGGTTCTACTTCCACTGCATATTCTGACAGCAGGCCCCCCTCTCCTTGTACAGACAAAGAAGATGTCAGTGATGACGACGGTGCCGACAGTGCAGTTCCCTCCTCAGAAAAGGAGTTTCCCTTGGTGATCATTAACACTAATTACAATCGTTCCCACCAAGACAATAAAAAGTTTCCTTTAAAACGACATTACACTGACAAGTCTCAGGCTCGGAAGGCAGGATTTATTTGGACGGAGCAAGACAGGAAGAAGGCCATAAGTGCCATTATTCCAAAGGATATGGCGTCATTTCAGAAGCAGGTAAGGGAATTCTTTTCTTCCTTGATTTGGGTTCATCTTCCTTTTTTTCAGGTAAAACAGGTCCTACAGTCAGGCGTCAGAAACGCCAGATCAAAGTATACGAAATATGCCACTAGCGGTCACGAACCGTAAGTATTTAACATTTGTTCTGTATTCGAAGGGGTGCTTATTTCTTCTTAGTCAGAGAGTCCGAATCAACTGCAAGGATGGAAGAAACCTTGCCTTTATTGATAGCACTCTGGATCAACGTCTACGTGATCAACTACTCGACAAGTTCATGGCTCTATTTCCGGATGGTCTGAAACACACTGACACTGAAGAGGAGGGGATTGGCAATACATTTCCCTCAATTCATTTTGTATGGTACAATCGGTATGCTACTAGGGTGAGTGGGCGCATATTCCATCAATCTTCTAAGTTATTTATTGAATGGTCTCTCAGGGAGATGGGGCGCCAAAAGATGTCCACCCCGATGAGCTCTATAACGGTCAAGGAAGTCGCCTGAATACTGCCCAGTTTTTGCCAAGGCTCTCAAAAGAAGCTCATGAAAATATGCAGAAATATCATGAACTTGAAGAAGCATTCCAGGAAATTTGGCAATATCAGCGTTCTGTGGTATGTGGATTACAACCATCATTTTCTCTCAATGCTAACGATAACTCTCACTTAGGTAGAAAAGTACTTACCTGAGGAGTATGAAGCCCTTAGGATCTCTGTCGACCTTCTCCCTTCCAATGACATGAGCCCAACATACCCCTTTGGTGGTGTTGTTCTCAACTTCAACGTATCGACTCTTGTTCACCGAGACTGGAAGGACCTGAATGTTTGCCTTGTCATGCCCATCAGTGCCTGTCAAGGGGGGGCACTGGTTCTCCATGAACTTGGGATCGTTGTGGAATGCCAGAGTGGAGACATGGTGGTTTTTTCTTCGTCTGAGATCACTCACTATAATCTTCACTTCAAAGGTTTACGGGCGTCTTTAGTTTACCATAGCGATCGAACATTCAAGTCATATGTGGATGATAGGAATGGCTGGGGCAATCATGAAAGCTTCAATGGGACCAATGTACCTACTTTACCTATGCTTTTAGAAACAAACTAGATGTTTGTCTGTCATTTTTCGTCCCAAGGTTGATTCACAGCATCATGTGATTTCCAAGAAGCTACATCTCGCCTCAACTCAGCGCCGTTCTTGACCCACACTATCACCACACTATCACCACCGCTTTTCCTGTTTCTCCTTTCTACTCTGTAATGTCCCTTGGTAAGCTAAATCCTTCACTGGTATCTGGCTGTAGCCCCAATCTAGCCTTCACACAGTACCACCAATTGCGAAGGCATACGTCCTGGCCACTGCTAGGTGTACAGAGCGTCAGAACCCAGGAGTCAGTGGCCGATATTTTTGGAAACCCTACCCACTCACTTTAGATTTCCACAACAGTTTGCAAGGAAGATAGAATCAGCTGGAGAGGCGAGCTCTCTCCTACAGGACGCCTCTGAACAAGAATCATTACGCCGTGACATCCAAGCATGTCTCCTTGTCGAACTTCAAAGGCTTCAACAAAAGATTCTTATTGCCCACCAGGATGTCCTTAACGCAGAACTGTACTGTGGTGAAGTGCGCTACTGGGTTAGGAAAAGTGGATTTATCCTCCCATCCTCAGATTTCCAGGCGGCAAGGGACAATCTAATTGTGCAAGTCAAGGGATGTAAGTATTATGATTTCAATTACACATAAAAGGAATTAAAGAAAATTCAGCCCACAGAATCATAACCCTTCCACATGGAGGCGCACTCTCTATTACCTTGGATTAGCCAATCATCTATATTATTAGCTCTGTCAGTCGGTGCTGGTGCTTTTTCATAGCACTGATCTCTTCTTGTGGCCTGAGCAATTTTTCAGTAACTGTATTTTCAATAGACACCTCTCCTCTACTCGCGCTATCTTCAATTTGTGCCTGCACGACCACTTGGTATCTGAGGACCAACACGGAACACCTCCGCAACATTTGACCCAAAATGGACTTGCGGGAGGGCTTCCCGTTGACCTGTATATCTCCTCCCAAAAGGATCAAAACTTGGTTGACTTTTACCCATCACTGTCTGCCTTTCCGTCAGCTTTTTGTCCAGCTTTTCCCTTCATATCCCCTCAGCCCACCCAACTTAGCAGCTTATCGTCATGGCCAACAATAAGAAAAATAATGCCTCCCAGAATTCCGAAAACAGTGAAAACCAAAGCCTCGCTGGCAAGAAAAGTAAGGCGACTTTGGTCAACCTAAAGACCAGTCGAGGAAGCAAAGCCAAGGCTCTCGCATCTTCAACTGTTGGTAAGTGCTTAATACTTTTGTTTAAAACTGGTTAATCCTATCTATCCAGCGAACTCAAATGTCGATGCTGTCCCCCAAACCCAAGGTGCTGTTTCTTGCATTATATTATCTTTTACTCTTTCATCCTTAGTCCCACCTAGCTAATGGTCGCCCTGTCCGTTCAACTGCTGGAAAGGGCGGTGCTATACACCAACTGACTATGGCAGCAAACATCGTCGGCGCTGGCTTAGAAAGATCTCTGCAAAAAACTGAAACCAAAAAGCATTCCAGAGACGAGCTTGACAATGCTCCCCACAACATGGCTGAAAATCATATGGCGCCTTTGCCAAAGGCAAAACGTAGAAAAGCGGTTAGCGTCTTTCATTTTTACTTTGGCAAGTAACTGATATGCTCTGGTGTCTCTAGGGACAAGTTGATGCACCGGTCCCTTGTGCTATTGATCCTCCTTTGAAACCAGCAGCACCCCTACCTCGAAGTCATTTACCTGATTGGTTAGTTGCTCAAGGTCCCAGAAAGGTGCTGGAACCTCAAGATCGTCTGGTCTGTACTTTCCAAGGACCTCAATATCCTACCAGTTCACCTCCTTTTCAGCCAGGAGGTATATACGCACCACAAGGTCTTCCTCAAAGTTTTCCAGGGCGTCAACCTCAGGTTCGAGCAAATCAGTAATATCATCCATCTTGCTTTCTTTTCAACATAATAACAACTTAATAGGTCTTCCATGGACGCTCTCGCAAAACGCCAAGGCCCTCAGATAGCTCTTCAGCGTACTAAGAACCCTACCTACCAGACAGCACAGATACACGACAATATCATGGTAAACAGCAACAAAACCAACGATGAACAGGATATGGATGTGGACAACGCCTTTGAAAAGAACACCAGCTACAAGGACAGCAACGAAAACATTAGCAGTGAGGATAATAGTAGTGACGACGGTACTGATGATTGCTATGACAAGGATGGCAATGAGGAGGATGATGAAGATGAGGAGGAGGATGAAGACAACAACATCGACGACAATAATCTGCGCCCTACAACAGAAAGTATAACACTTCCACGTATGGCTGCTGATGACTTTCAGGATAACACCTATGGTGGTCAGCATGATCACTACGATGACGAATTTCAGCAAGAAGATGAGCAAGAAGACACTGATGTTGATCATGTCGACGACAAATTTCAGCAAGAAGACGCTGATGTCAATTATGTCGACCAGCAAGAAGACGCTGATGTTGATCATGTCGACGACGAATTTCAGCAAGAAGATGAGCAAGAAGACGCTGATGTCAATTATGTCGACCAGCAAGAAGACGCTGATGTTGATCATGTCGACCAGCAACAATCATTAGAAGGTGAATGTTTTCAGCCCTTTTTTTCATATTTCTTTTGTTCAGCAACTGATCTTACGCATTTAGCTCATGAAATTGATGAACAGTCACCTTCAGAAGATGAACGCCAGGCAGATGCTGTCTTGCACGCACCTCGTTCTTGTACCCCATATGATAAGAACAAAGACATCTCGTTTGAAGGCAACCATCAGCCTACCTTTAACATAGAGGGGGAAGAGCCTCATGGTCTGGTAGATAATGTATTCGTCTCTTTTTTCCATTCTGATAGCTGACAATATATGTTATTTAGGAGGATCAAGATAGTCACAAAGTACCTCTCATACAAGACGTTTTGACGGCGCATCACAAGAAAAACCGTTCTAACCGCCCTCCAAAACGCAGCCATTTGGTGGCAGCTGCAAATCACCACCGCCAGGTCCAAGGTATTTATAATAACCATAGCGAGCGTGGCAAGCGCATCGAGCGCCAGGATCCCCAGGTGGCATGCCATACTGAAGAGCCTGAAACCATTCAAAGTGCTGGAGATCCAGTAACCTTTCAAGGTACTTACATTTCTGACGCTATCTCAGGTAGCTCAGTTTCTGACGTTTCCCATGCCCTTCAAATCACTGAAGTACCTGAAACCACTGAAGACCCTCAAGTTCCTGTGACTGTTGCTACTAGAGCACCTCGTAACTCGTTAAAATCAAAAGGAAACCACGACCCAACTATTTTGAGCTTCTACCCCTCGGTATGGCAAGTCGTGATCAAAAGAGCTAAGATCAAATACCAGAAGCACGTTGCTTTGATACATAGCTTTCCCTCCAAAGCTATTGATGCAGACTTTAAAGTCGCAAAAGCCATTCTATCAGAGGAGATTGCTCAAGGAAAAAATGAGGGGCTTCTCTTTGAATCTGGTACGCCTTAATATCCCTTCTTAATCTTCTCATTTGTGTTCTGAAATATACTTTACAGGCTTCAGTTTTAGCGATGACATGGCTAGCGTCGTAAGCTCTTGTTTTTTTTGGGGGGGGGATTATTTCCTGACCCACAATAGGTTTTTGAAGAGGGCAGCACCTTTCGTGGAAGGTTGAAGACTATGGGTCGTACCAGTGTTCTTCGATTCTATTCTAAGGATCTGGATCCCTTGGTTGAGAATCAAGGACAGCTTGAAAGCGATATTGTGGCCAATGCCAATAGACTTTTATCTATCAGAGATTCAGAGTACCTAAAAGGTGGCAAGGATGCCAATGTATGTTCAGCGTCGTCTCTCCATCATTTATCACTCATTTTGCTTGAATAGGGGAAAACAAACAATTTCTCACATCCTTGCATTCGTGCTCTATGCATTGAGTTCTTCTATACTGGGAACGACTGTCTGGCTCACCATTTCCCTGATAATTTCAAAGACAGCGTCCCAGAACTCTGTATGGTGCTTGTCATGACCTGCGTAAGATTTTTTTACCTCAGATCATACCATGCTCATTGCTCTTCTACAGATCACGAATTGTATTCATGAATTCCAACGGTTTTGCTCTGGAGAGAGGGCCAAGATCCAATTTTCTGGTACCGCGTATCAACCTACTGTCAACGCGTTACTCAGACACATGGAGGACATCAAAGCCAACCCATATCATGCCCAGAAATTGCTTAGTAACCGACAACGATGGGCCCAAGATGGGATGTTAGTCTCTTTCTTTCGTTTGTCTAGTGCTTTGGTCATTGCTTAACCTTTCGAACATCCTAGGAGGTTACAAGCGGCGGCAGAGCCTATGATCAATACTGACATCACCATTGCCCTTGATTAAAAGTGGCTAAATGCTGGCTGTCCTCGTCACTGGTTCCTGGCCATCACCATATACATTTCATTATCTAGTAGGCTGATTCTGTTTTAGAGGAGAGGATTTATCAGTACCCATGCGAAATAGATAATTACATTACAGATCAATTTGCCTATAAATGGACTGCTATCCCCACAATATTTCGTCAATTTATACCCAAATAGAAAAATATAGCCCATTCCAATAGACCTGTATAGATACGAAAGCCAGCTTGACTGAGCTAGAGAGAGGACTTCTTTTCTTCCTAGACTCTCCTTCAAGCTTGGCAGAGCTGCATAGATTACCAGCCTTACTATAAAATACTAGGGAGCCCATATGGAGAACTATGCACTGCTCTATGTTTTCTACATAGGTCTCCATAGCACGACATAGCAGAAATGTGTTCCTATGCAGCGCTACGTAGGAACTGCCCTGAGCTGTAAAGGTGATACCCCTTTCTATGGTGCTATGGCACTGCACAGCCCTGCCACGTGCTGCCTAGCTCACCCAGGTTTTGCTGATGTGAGTACAAACGCAAAGTCTCGTTCTGACGCTCTAGCGTTATCTTATCCGATAATGAGCTTGCAAATCCCAGGCGAGCCTGTTGATGCAGATACGGACGGGACACATTCCCCTCAACGCGTACCTGTACCGGATCAAGAAGTCTGTTACATAGAGACCAATTATCGATGTTCAGGATGAAACACGTCTAGGAATTCTATCACCCCTCAGGCACCATACTTAGCCCTATAAGACAATTTTGAGCATATTGGACCGTTCATTTTTGAAGAAAAACAGTTGCAAAAGCCCAAACACGAAGTGCGCTGTCATTGGGATAAAATTCAGTACAGATATAGTACAGGAATTCATTTCTATGATCTTCAGACCCCCTCGAACAACTTTTTATGCCTGTCTAGCGTTTCATCATAAGACAACGTTAACGCATCTTTCGTGGCCTTCCTTGTGAATTCATACTGTTGGTCAAAGCTCGAGAAATCGGTCAATCCCCTGCCTGATTCAAGCTGCAGCATCTTAGGCGCCCACTGTTCCAGAGAAAGGTAGGGTTGTAGTCCGCGGATGTTGATGCGAACGGCCGAATGCTCTGCACTTTCGTCAAATGCAGACCACGCCTGGCCCTTTACAGCCTTGCACTTAGTAACTTGAACCTGTCGGTCAGCGTCCTTGAAGCAAATCGAGGTGTCTAGGTCCATCAGGATTACCATGTACTCTGGCTTCCAGCGCTCCACCCCGTCCTCGAGGAATGGGCAAGTGATAGTGTTGATCAAGTCCAATTTTGCAGCCGAAACCCTGTTCTTGGTATGCAGCGCGACAAAGACAAACATCTTGGGATCGAAAGGTCTGGAAAGGTCACCACGGTAACCGACAAGGAGCTTGTCAATGACAGGTTGGTTATGGATGCATTGCAAAGCCAAACCTCTCCGCCAGCACAGAAGGGCAAACTCGTATGAAAGGTTTGATTCGATGAAGTCCTCGAGCTGGACAAAGTGCGTAAAGTTCATATGAACCTTTGAAGCCCATTCCAAGCCGGAGTTATAGGCGCCATCGATCTGGGCAAGTTTGTTCGGATCCACCAGCTGTCGGAGATATGACGCCAACAGGAAAGGTCGCACGGCATAGGACAGATGATCCCCATCATTGTAGGGCTGCTCAACGATTTTGTGTTTCACAACGTCAACAACACAAATTTGACCCCCTGCTGCGTGAACAGTGGCATCACGATTGACGATGAGGATGATTCTACCACAAGTTTCCCCATTTTCGCCTAGAGAAATAACCTTCTTGTATAGAAGGAGTTGATCAAAGAGAATTTTCATAGTTTCTTTGTATATTTCTTTGCTTTTGAGGAGGATGTCCCCAGCAGCTATAGACAAGATAGGCTCGGACAGAACTTCAGATTTCAACATACGCGTCGATGCGTTGTAGTCAGTTAGGACACGCAGATGGCTCCTCACGGAGTCAATGGCCATTCGGTTTGCAGCACCTTCGGCAGTGAGATCGAGGACGAACCGAATTGAATGTACAGCCAGGACCTGCAAGTTGCACTTATCGGAGTCAGGGCTAGGGAAATGCTGAGGTTCAGCACAGAGCAGCCTCCTACTAGCTGCGTACATAATCTCATTATCACCAAATGTCGACCACAGCTAAATTTTAGTGTCGAAGATCAGCATAAATGCCCCCTCGTCAAATGATTCAGGATTACACACCGGTCGACCATACACCCGAAGGCGATCCAGTCGAAGGGCTTCTAAAGGCGTATTGGGTAGGTTCTCTGGTGATGGTACCATGGTGTCGAAAGGCATATATAGCCAGGGTGGAAGTGGCTTCAAGGAACCTTGTAGACGCCACGACGATGTTGTCTTCTTGTAAGCAGTGTCAGGGTACACATCAGAAAGTCCGTTCACCGAGTCCGGCATGAAAAACCAAAAATTGAATTCCTCGCAAGCCTTGATTACCCTTTGCATCGCAGGAAGCGTAATGCGGTTATCGGGAGGGTTGCTGTTCAGCCTTGGCTTGTAATCAAAGTTCATTTGATTACATTCATCAAACGTTAATGTGAAGCACGACAACCCTAGTTCGCGCCGGTCGCGATCCAGAGTCTCGGCGAATGTGATGACGAGGATCTGGAACAGTTTTGTTACCCAACTGGCTGTCCCTAAATCTTTCATCAAACACAGCAACACATGAACACATGAATCCAACTGACCCGCTGGCACCTCCAGATCTGGCTCGATAAAAACCGTTGGCGCAGATAAGTAGCTGCGTGCGTCTAATATCTCCTCTGCATGTGCTTTCAGTAAGGCAATGGCATTTGTCTGAACTTTCTCAAAATTCTTGATGCGTGGTGTGTTCAACTGGTGGGTGACATTAGAAATACCCCAAGATTTATCGAAAGCTTCCTCGTATTTAACAGAGGAGCATTTTGCATCCATGATTGTGTCATGCACGACGCCAAAAAGAGCCGCCATGAAAGAAGCCGCAATCTCTTCGCTCTGCTGAGTGTCAGTACCCCCGACTGATGATTGGACGCAGATAGATACCTTCACACATTTGAGCTTCATCATCACATCTTTTGGAAGCCTATCAAGGCATCCGAAAACCGATACATCGCCAAGTGGATACCCATCCACATCTGACATATTCAACGATCCAAGTCCACGAAAACACACGCTGATACCCCAATGCTCTCGAGGATTCTGAGATGGGTGAGTTATCATGGAACTTTAAAGGGATCATTGCGTACCGAACACGCCAATTCGGCCATTGTCTTAGACTTTCCCGTTCCGCTACTCTGAAGAACAACGACCGTTTTCCCATAATGGACATTGTGGTTGTACATTTTCATGTACTGGGGCAGAGCCATTTCCAACCACCGGACGCCTGGTCCGGCGTACTTTTTTTGGAAACAATGAACTAGGCGTACACCTGCTTCCTTGCTGAAAAAGAGCAGATATTATGTTAACTGATGGCCAGATAGAATTAGTCCCCACTTCTTGAGAGATTGCGATGGTGATATGGAATCATAGCCATCATAAACAACGTCCGCTGCGTCGGTGACGTCAGACCTGTCTAAAGAGTTGAGAAGAATTGACTGCGTACATAAGTGGCACATCCCAATTAATATATCGATATGACTTTGACGGAGAAGATAAATCAGCGAATCGTCCGAACATGGCCTCACATCGTAGTCTATCGGGTCGCCGAAGAGTGTCTTTAACACTTCGGGTTCGACGCCCCGTGACGAGAAAGTTTTCCTGATATCGTCCTGGATGCCCAAAAAGTCTTTAATGTCGTCCATATCGTGCGTCGTCAACGAATGCTTCCTGGCGTCCTTAATTTGAAGGTAATATTTCGCCGTGTCGACATAAATCACCCACGCCTGCGCGGCTTTGCTTGAACCGCTCAACCAATCTTCTAGCAACTTGCGTTCAGCTCCGCCTTCCGGGAATCTTTGAAACCTTGCGATCATACGGGGGTCTGCCATTGAACGCTTGACCGGATCGTCCATGACTGCACCTCCTAGATGGTTACTGGGTTACACGTGATTTTACTCGCCAGTACTCATGTCGAACGTTTTACTCACTTTGAGGCTTAACTCGAGAGGAGTGGGCTTTATTTGCCATCGCTTTCTTAGTCACACAGCTTGTCCCTCACACTGTGATAGGTTCGGAGCAAGCCCGCTCCGGTCCGGTTCCCGGACCCCTTCGAAGAAGGGGCTTGCTGCAAAGTCCATCAAAACAGGGGGGTTGCTCTTGCCGGCGTCATACTTTCCACACTCGACGTATGCCTAGAAATTCTTTTGCAGTGGGTAAAATTATGTATTCCGACTAAGATACACTATTGCATAAAAATCTACCCACTTCCAACCCACTTCTATTGCAAAAGGCACCTGATCCCGGGGATAGCTGCGGGTAAAAAGGTGGCCAGTTATGCAATGACAGTGTCATTTTTGACCAAATAAAGCGGCCAGATGTATACTATTATGTCATAAAACTCATCTTATGGAATACTGAAGGCTCTGGGACCTTTCAGTGGCTCAGCGTTGAGACAATTTCAAGGAGCCAGCAGAGTAGTGCGTGACAATCTGTGACGAACATCCAAAACCAAACAGAATTTTCACAACTTTCTCGTGCAGACGGCGATGCAAAGCACTGTAAATCCGCCTTTGTCATCTCTCTCCTCGAACAGAACATCTCTATTCGCTTCTTCTCTGGATTATGGTCTGACTTTGACCACCACGTTACAGTCGGGAAGTACAATATCATATTAACCTCCGAAACGATCTACAGCGCCAGCAGCCTTCCTTCCCTCGTCGATACGATGCATTCTGCCTCTGATACTGGCGGGGACAAGCCTCTGAACGTGATCAGCTCACCTCAGCTGACAATATCCCGAAGCATTGTACCTGCCAAGTATCTGTGTCTCGTAGCGGCAAAGGTGTTGCACTTTGGAGTGGTGTCAGAGATTACAAAACTCATCGAAACACCCGCGAAAACAATATGCAGTTTTGGATGCGAGGTGACGGGAGATATGCATCACATCTTCGTCAACTGCAGGCAGGACGATCAGTGGAGGGTGGACGCTAATAAGGAGCTGGTTGAGAGGACTGAGCTTAAGCTCGCAAACATGCGGATCGGGGGGGCTGTGAAGAACGGCCTCCTCGCAACAGCTAAGTTGACAGCGCTGTCGTATGGCCACTTCATCAGTCCCTCTTTTACCTAGGGCAAATACCAAACCTCGATCTCCTGATCCCAAGTGAGACTGGTATTGGTGAAGTCGAGGGCCGGAGACTCAGATCACACATTTCTTCCGATTGGCACATCGCGTCCATTTGGCTAGCAGGGCGGATATTTGGGGATTATCAAAGGAAAATGGCTGTTTTGAACGACTGTAGAAGGAGACACTAGTTACTACGTTTGTATTTGGTCCGTCGAGGCCGGCTCTTGGGTTGACCTTAGTCTCTAGTAGATGTAGACGGATGTCATATTGTAACAATTGTAACAATGGGATGCCCACGGGGCAAAGTCAAAACCATTCTGGACTGAAATGTTGGGGTAAAAAGAAAGGTTATGAGTGTTCAGTGGGCGCAACATTTCTCATGCATGTGTATTTTACAACCTTGACGAACTAAGTTGGATGAGTCGAATAATTAGGAACTACACCCTTTTGCCCTTGACAGTAAAGGTGAAAAGGAAAATTTTATGACTGTTGAGACTTCACCTAGAAATCAACAAGGGGATACTTCCGCCCAGGGGGATGCATAACAATGACTCTCTTGTCTGTGAAATCCTCGAAATGGAATCGGCCATATCCAGAAGAACCACTGGCAATAAAAAAGTCAGCAAAATGTGGGGCTGAATTTTTGAGGGACATACCCAAGGCCGAGAAGGCCATCAGTTGGCTCAGAGTGGATGGTTGGCCCGTTGATGTTTGTGCAGCCTACGAGAAAAAGTATATGAATGGTCCAAGCTTAGCTTATAACAAACTTCACCTGCTCGGACTTGAGAAGCAATCGCTTGACCTTTATATACATCGGAGGTCCAAAGCGAGGCGGACAGCGAATAATCAGAGGAATTAGCCAGTTCCACGGCTTCCTCCACGCTATCCGCGATCGCAAATGCGGTAACTGTAATGCAAGTGTCATACGTTATTCAACGGCACAAGTGCACAAAATTTGAGGCTACCTGGACCGAATGATTCTCGAGCCCACAACCTCATTCCTGGTTTGAGGCCCTTTACCAAATGTGGCTGCAAGACCGCGCCCTCCCGCTTGAGATCCCCGAGCACGACTTCAGCTCCATCAGCCTGCGCCTCTTGTATCATTTTCAAAACACCCTCAGCAGACGACTCTGCAAACAACGCCCCGAGTTTAACAGAAGAGTCATTCGAAACGTCTCCTGACTTTAGATCTTCGCAAAGGGCTCTGACTGCAGCGATTAACTTCTCTGAGATACCGCGCTGAACGATCACGCGTTCCGTTGACATACAGACCTTTATCGGAGTATGAGACAATCCTAGAGATGAGTGTTCAGTCATACCTGACCCGAGTGCGCCATGGCTCCGTATGTGATTGCTTTGGCTGCTTCAGCCACATCAGCGTCATCCAAGACCTGCACTCTCATCAATATGAGAAAATAGAGCACAGTCACGATAACGGACAATTGTTGGTGCTTTCCCTCCAAGCTCCAAGATGCACGGCTTCAAATGTTTGGCCGCCTCCATGGCAATTATCCTCCCAACACGGTCGCTGCCTGTGAACTGATGGGAAGAAAAAAGAATTCGTGAACTGAAATCGGACGAGAGTACTAGAACTCACATTGATGTTGCGCACAAGAGGATGTGCAATAATCTCGGCAGTCAAAGCAGGAGCATTCTCTCTCGAGATAGAAATGAAGTTGAGGACGCCCGCAGGAAGACCAGCTTCTTGTAATAACTCCACAACCAACGCCTGGCTCCTGGGGCTATACTCTGATGATTTAAGCACAACTGCATTCCCACATATGAGAGGGACAGCAACTGCTCTCATTGCAAGTGCAACGGGAGCATTCCAGGGAGCGATTGCGAAGCTATAGAGTAATCATGAGCATGATGAAGGAACATCAACATCAACGGCCCACATTACTCCCATCGCCCTACGCTGAGCAATAACCTGTGCCCCAGGCACAGAACCAGACGGGTATATCTCTCCCTTGAGGCGGTCAACGAGACCTGCTTGAGTACGAAGGAAGTTGATCGCTATAGCTGAGTTAAAGGCACCCCAATAGTCTGCTCCAGCAGTCTCCTCCTTGATGGCTTCCGTTATCTTGCTCTTGTATTTATCACCGGAAAGTAGCTCAGCAGCTCTCAAGAATATGTCGCGTCTTGTGTTAGGACTAGAGTGCTCCCAGATTTTAAAAGCACGGCCCGCAGCCTCAATAGCGGTCACACAATCGACACTAGAGGCCGACGCAGCTGTGCCAACGACTTGTCCAGAGTACGGATTGCGAACTTCGAAGGATTCTCCATTGCTAGCCTGCACTGCGTCGCCATCGATGTAGAGTGGTGTAAAGGGAGCCATGTTGTTATCGACTAGAGCTGAGGGCGAATACTTGTATGACCTCGGAAGGTTTGATAAGCTCGATATCAGAACGTCTCATCAGCAGCGTGGACAAGAAGGTGATGTATGAGACGCGAAGAAGGTCACGAGCTGACCTGCAAGGTGCTATAAATAGCTCGTTTAAGACGTATAACGCAAGCCAGCGCTGACGTCGGCCTTTGGTTGGGGTGCGAATTTGCCCAAGAGTGGTGTATCACCTCGACGGCGACGGAATTTCTTGATATCTTCAATCGGCTGCATTGTTCTCCGATAAATATATAGCAATGAACTGGATGAATACACCTATGATAGAGGAAGGGTCACCTATACGAGGAGTGGATCGGAAATACCTTTCATTTGGAATTTGTTGCCTAGATAGTCAGTTAAATCAAGTGGTGTGATGCACCACTTAGCAACCAAAATGCACAAGGCAAAATTGAGAGGAGCGGAGAGTAGAAGGCAACAATCCAAATGATATAAGTTAATACGAGATACAATGGAAGAAAGGGATAAAAAAAACAGGGTTTCACGACTTTGCCTTCGCTGGCTCTATCCATTTTCTCCGTAGGGCGTTCCTAGGTTTCAAACGCAGGGAGTTCTTCTCCATCTCCTCTTTGCTCCTATACTTCCACAGGAAGTCTTCCGTTTTTGACACATAGAACAGTCGATATGTTCGCACGCAGACCTTTATCTCAAGGCCATCTTGTGTTGAGACGTCTGGAGGGGTGTCTCGAACGGCAGCAGGGATGTTTCTGTCAAGACAATTCGTCAACTTTGAGCTCAGGGATGATCTTGGATGTGCTAACCTTCTCAGGAAAGGGCGCTTAATCCTGGTCTGAGAGATACCCGGCGTAGTCTCGGACTGGCCAACAAGAGTCAGAAGCTTCAGAGAATAGGAAGCGATGGCGCATTACCGCAACAAATGAGTCAAGATAAGCCTGCCAACGACCCGACAGTACTTCCGAGTCATCAAAGCTTGAATCATCCTTGCCAATCAGCTGAACAGTGATCGTCTTTGAATCCGAAAGCTAAGAGTACGTAGGTCAGCGGCCGTCAAGATTAACGCCTTCAGATGGCTCACCCAGTCGATACGGAATAGGTTCTCATCAGGTCCAAGAACCTTCTCGGCGTTGCGTCGGCTGTTTATTTGGTCTTGAGTGGTCGGAGAGTTGAGCGACCGCTCTCGTTTCAGAATCTCAAGAAGATCTTGACTCTTCGGATCTAAGAACACGGCTTGCACCTGAATGTGCCGTGAGCGAAGGGTAAACGTTACTTGGTAAAAAAAAAATGACCTGCTTAACGATCGCCCCAATTAGCTTGTCGATCGTAAACAGCTGATAGGCATTCTGTTCAAACATCAGTTCTGTGGAAACAAATTGAAAGCGAGTAAGTAATACCTTAGTTCCAAACATGCCCCTCATCTGGTCCTCAAAAGCATGCTGTTCGAGTTCATTATCAAACAACCGCTCGCATGACTCAAGCATCAGTTCGTAGTAATGCTGAGCGCGGGGAGTTTCGCCATTTTGCAGGCGGTCTGTTTTCCCGACGTGATTCAGTCTTCGAGTTTTGGGATCTTGCGCAGCAATTTCGGCAGCGAGGTCTTTGAACAGGTGTAGTCTAGAATAAAGCATCTGCAGTAATGTCAATAACGAGAAAGGACAACAAAGATACAAAGAACGACTTACCTCAATCAAACGCAGCAGGGTATAAAAAACGGTATTTGAGAAGAAGATGTTCTGCCTCGGTAGCCGCCGAGCAGACGGGTCACCCTTCGGCTCTTCCTCAACAATTACAGGGGAAGCTAGACGCGATGCAGAAGGTGTAGGGGCTTCCTGAGCCCTGGTCTTTCGGCTGGTTGACTTTGCTTGTTCGCTCTTCAGCAATTTCTTTCGTAGATCGCTGCCTGACGATAACCCATTGGCTGTTTTCCGACCTCGACCCGTCCTGGGGCTGCTCGTGCCATTGCTGGATACCTCTGCGTCATCTACGTTGCTGGCAGCATCTGCATCACTGAGATCACTCTCCGGCGTCTCTTGCACAACGACAAACGCAGAGTTAAACGCAACAGGATCAAGGGTGAAAAATATCGGAATGAAAGTCCGGAGAAACCCTTCGATGCGCTTGCGATCCGTCAAGTTGATTTGTCCCTGAGTCCGATCGAGGAAAGAAAAAGTCAACTTCATCGAGTCTTGAAGAATCTGAACGTCATCTATGATAAACTGCAGTTGATGTCTCGGCCTCGTCCTCGCGAACAAAGGGTCAATCAAAGAAGCCCGCTTGTCCATCTGCTCCTCCCTCGCAGCCTCAATCTGGCTCACGAACGACTTGGACATCATAGCTTTCTTATCCGCCGCCTTGAAATCAATAGCTTGATGATCCAGACTCTTGGAATAATTCCGCGCATCCACCTCTCGCCAAATCTTATTCCACTCTCGCTGCGCTCGCTTCCACTCCTCTTCCTTCTGCTTCAAACGTTGCAACACCACAGGGATCGCCAACGCAGGGGTGTCTTGCATAGCTTGCATTACCTCCAAACCGGCTTCCCTGCCATATATCTTCTTCACTACGCGTTGGTGGATCGGTTTCCATGATCCACCCAGATTCGGTTTCAGCTTGAAGTTCCCACGATCCTCTACGTTCATCTGTGCGATTTTATTACTGATAGGCTCGAGCATCGTAATAGTCCGCACGATCGCTTCAATGTGGAAATCGTATTCATGACGTTCCTCTTCGCTTCGATGTAGGGCTTCTTCGTAGATGTTCTTTTTATGAGGAATGATGGGTGGGTCTTCACTTGACCAAGTAGGATGCGAAATCCATTCGTCATTCAGAACCGAACGGCACATATCATCGCGACCTGAGCATGGCACGTTTGCTTCCTGTAAATTATGAGCTCAGTAGCAGGTCGCGCGTGGAAGGATGCGAACGTACTTTTTCAGAAACCTTGCGATAGCTTCCATACTTCTCGCCCAAGTCAATGCGTCCAGGTCGTTGTTGTAGATCGGTAACTGCGGGTTTCTTCCAATTGCTCTGCGACTGCTGTTCTGCCAAGAAGTGTTCCTTTTCTTTCCTCTCATCCCAGCCAAGAATTTCTTTGAACTGTTTCATCAACTCGCCTTCCCCAAGGAAATTCCGGCTCTCCTTGACCAGCCTTGCTGTATCGATGTAGTCTTGCGCAAACAAATTAACAACCTTGAGGAACTCGTTGTATATATCTCCGTTATCCAATGCCCTCTTGACACGGTCAAAGAAGTGTGTATCGTCATTGACTGGAGGCGCTCGCATAGGTACTGGGGGTGGTTGGTTGTGGGGAACGGTTCGACGGGGCGAGGATGGGCCGGCAATGATGTGCTTGGGATTGTATGACAGCGGGGTCAAATCTTGCGAGTTGGAATGTTTGGGTTTCTTTTTGAAAAGGTTTACACAAAGGAATCGACATCACAAAGGCTCGAGACTCACTTTCGCAGGGGGCGCTGCCTTTGTTACAACCGGCTCTTTCTCTTTCTCCTTTTCAGGGACTTTCCGTTTTCTCTTCTGTGGCAATGCTGAGCTCGATGAATTTGCGACAATATCCAACTTGCGTCTATTCTTATCTAAAGGGGTCCCAGGCCGCGGATGCGTGGGGCCGTCATCCATCAACTGTTGGCTTCTATCCGGCATGAAAACACGAAAATCGGCTCTGAGGTCAGGAGCGTCCTTGAAAAGTTTTGCGATTTGGCGTGAAACCTCTTCCTGTTCCTCCGCTTACGTTAGTGAGTGGCTCGAAAGACAAAAAAGGAAGAAAACGGCACCTCATCAATTATGTCTGATTTGTGGTGATAACGGGAGAGAATGTCCAAAAATTGTCGATACGTATCTGGATCACAGCGTTGTTTGATTTTCTGGACGTATTGGACAGCAGGCTCAATGGCTTGTCCATCGATACCATACGACCTGGGGTCCGGCGACGTCACATGTTCCACGGCTGGGGCTATTCGTTTTGAGCCTTGAATTGGATGCGACGCTAACTTGTACGAACCGTAGTCAATCCCACCCTCCCGGCGCCACAGACCTCCTGAAGTCGGTGAGGTTGACCAAAAGATGGGCCCTTTTCCCAGTCCGTTATTCGTAGTCTGCATTGTGGTACCACTAGGAGTGGTGACTGTAATAAAGTTGGAATCGTGTGCGTCTGTCGAGCATTCGATGCGATACCCCACAGGAAGAAAGGTATTGAAGCCTTGAATAAGGGACGGATGTCCGTTGAATAGATGGGAAACGCGCTTGATAACGCCGGGAGTGTCAATTCTGGTGAACAAAGTAAGAGGCAGCACAACGTTCCAATGTTTTAGCACTCACTGCTCATTTTTGAACTCCTTCATTATATCCAAGAAGTGATTGTAGACATCGGGTTGGTCGGAAAATTGAACCTTGACAGCATCAAGATAGCTGAGAGCGTCTGTCACGTTAAGTGGACGATCTAGCGAGTAGCTCTGAGGGTCGACTGGTGATGTTCTCCTGGACCGCTGAGTGCCGGGTTGTTCCAGATCGTCAACGAGCATAGGCGCGACTGGTTCGGATACTGAAGGAAGGTGGATATTCGAAAGCTGTGGAGATACCGGTTTCCCTGCAGCCTCTTCGTTCATTGGCTCAATAGCGTCTGGATTGGGGGAGGGGTTCCTGACATCCACGGCTTGCACGGTGGCAGCTGTACTTGAGGTATCAACATCGGAGGGTCTTGTGGCAAAAGGGTTCTCTACGTCGGTCGAGGGTGCCGAAGGTGGAGGCAGGTCGACGTCCATGGAGATTGAGGAGAGCGGTGACGACGGTCAGAAGACAAGCAGATGGACCGTGCGCCGATCACTTTGACTCCGGCACGTGCAAGGTTTGACAGGTGTTTGTATCACGGGGTAACACCAAACAATGACCTATCTCCGCAGTTGTATCCGCGATTGGCGGTGCTGAAGCCAGTGCTTCGCGTTGATATTGCCTTGATAAAGCTCTTTCGATGCAGACTTGAATCGCAACAATGATAGTTCCCACTGAGAAGTCCCAGCCTGAGCTCCCGCCGTACGACGAGGATTCCACTAGAGAGTTCACTGATTCGAAAAGTGGCCCACTTAGAAACATCCACACAAGCACCTATGGCAGTCCAGAGTACAGGCAATTCAGCTCTGGGTTACCATATGCCGCACGCCCACTCCAGCCTGATGCTGACGGCGTCGTATCTGAGTCGTCATCACTTTCGACGTCGTTTTCTCGACCTCTCCCAGGAACTCAACCTTACTCTTCGTTCGATCCCATATTTTTAGTCTGTCGGGGACAATACCTCTACAAAGGTTTCTTGCCGGTACCCCCGCCTTCTAGTGCCATTCCCCATCCATTTATAACACACGATGTCAACGAAGGGGATTGGTTGAAGTGCGTGTTCCAGGGTCTACCCTCCTAGACATCTATCTCACCAGTCAATCCAGTTTCTTGGCTGAAATACAAAGCGCTGCAACTTTGACGGAGAAGGATTTGTCAAGGTCGCACCTTCCAATAATCTCCATAATTCCTATCGTCAGTAAGTTATATCCGCTTTTTCATATCGTCACAGTTCAAAATCATATTCTGGCAAGACTCTCTGAGTGCGTACGGCATAAGAAAATATATGAAGGGTCGCAAAGAGTCCTCCGTGGTCAAAGTGATCGATTTCTGGAACCATGTGAGTTCCCGTTATCGTCGCTATACTAGTGGTGTTAATGATTGCCTCTGATAGCATTTTTTCCGTCCCCGGAAGTTGGAGGTAATTCTGACCAAAGGCCCGATAAAACTCAGTGGAACACACGATCATCCCATCGCCGATTTGCACGTTCCCGAGACTTCTAGTACTCGTTCAAGTCTTTCGGACCGCAAAGAGGGCAAATTGAAAGGGAAGGAGAAAGCAGGCACTGCTGATGACCCAGAAGACAATACATACAGGCTTTTCGTCGTCTCAATTTGAACTATCTTCCTTTTTAGATTTTTTACGTGTATGTGGACCTCGTTTTTTTCTTGCATATGAATCCTTGGTTATGATACAGCCCGCGTAAATCAACTCAAACTAGGAAGGTTCAAAGAAGCTGGCATAGGCTTTCCATCGATGGCAGACAACGCGTTCTCTGCTGCCAGCCTCGCCATATCTATCCGCGTTTCAAGTGTAGCACTTCCAATATGAGGGAGAATTGCACATCTAAAGCGGAGACAGATCAGCATCTGCTTCTCCGACCAACTCTGATGGGACACACCTAGGTTCCTTCACCAGCGGATGATCAGCAGTGACCTGTGGTTCACCCTCCACTACATCCAGACCAGCTCCCCAAATCAAGCCCTCACTCAGCACCTTTGCCAAGGCATCCGAATCCACCAAGCTTCCGCGACTTGTATTCACCAACACGCTCGATCTCTTCATCTTTCTCAAAAATGCCTCATTCACCAGATGTCTTGTCCCACTACCCCCAGGTGCGAGAACGAACACCACGTCGCTCCTCGCCGCAACTTCGTCAAGGGTCACCGACGCTAAGGAGGCCAACCCAAGCTTAGCTTTCAGCTCCAAATCACGAGAGGTTTTAGGCGTGGAGGAGGGATTCGAAGAATAGATACAGTTGGTAAACCCGAATGGGATCAACCGTGCCAATGTAGCTTGAGCGATGCGTCCGAAACCGATGAAGCCTGCTGTGCGCACTGGGCGAGAGGGGGAGGCGCTGAATTGGGGACCGCAGAAAAGGAATGGGGACCAGGGACATGTTGGCCACTGAAAGTATTGATATTAAGATGGCTGCATAAATGCGAAAGCAAGGATAACCTGCCTGACCGTCGTCAACGACCTTCATCGTCTGACGGACGTTTCGGCCTGCCATGAGCGCCAGCATTACGGTCAAATCAGCAACTACAAGCTCGTTATGAGTCCGGGAAATGGCAGTCACTTTTTGCAAGAGACTTCACCTGCATCCGTCAAAACGTCAGGCGTATACCCCACCTTGATACCTCGTTTCACTGCTGCCGCTATATCGATGTGTTCTTACGTTCCAGTTAATGGCAGTTTTAAGGAGCGCGTAGTAAACCCTCACCATAGCCTACGGACATGGTTGATACGACTTGTAAACTTGGTCCAGCTTCAAAGGGGCGCCAGTCGTCAGACAGTACAGTCGTTATGTCGAGGTTCAGAACATGCCTGAATCCAATACCTCAGTATCTATCTATCGCATAGACCAGGTCAGTACGTTCACTCGCAAATTTAATTATCATACCCACCTTATCTGCACCAACCATCACGATCAATGCCGTCGCCCCCACAGCGTTCTGGAGCAACCAGTTCCTGTCGCAGCCTCTATCCTCTGGCCATAAGACGACCTATACTCCCCTTCATGTCAAAAGGATTCTGAACTACCAAAAAAAGAGCTTGCCTCAAGATCACCTCTCTCTAGGAGCAGAGGCATGACATCTGGACCGAGGTTTCTTGTCACCACAACTTTGGGGCGTGAGGTTGGTCTGTTTAAATGAAAATCAGGGATAGGGCCATTGAGAAGTGCTGATGCTCTCTGTGAAGCCATTCCTTGACCTGACGGTAGAATTCGTGTGCCCAGGTCGGTCCGGACCGACGGTCCGAAGCACATCCCCGAAGACACCTCAACGTCGTTCCCGTCAACGCTGAGCAACTCTCCATCACGCAAACCTCTAGTTGTGTTTCGCTCCTACTACTAGAGACGCGACAGTTGTAACAGGACCGCTCACGTGCAATCTACCTCCACCTACTACCTCAAGTCTTGAAGCCAAAGGTCGACGCCACCTTGTCTATGCAATAACCTTGAGTGTCATCGAGAGTGAAACCTTGTGCCGAGGGGAACTCAAAAAATATTGATGTTTCAAGCAATCTGAAAAATGTTATACATCCATCTTTGACCTATCACCGATGAGTTGAGGCCCGACCACAGAAAGACGTTTCTTTGCGGATTACAGTAAAATTTCAGTTCTTCATGATGTCGCCGTTTTAGAGTGGGGGATAATTATACAGTGCTGCACACGAGACAATCTGGCTACTTGGAATCGGACTGCAGTGTTACTTGTTTGAAGGATTGATAAAATCGTTAGCTTCCAGAGAGCGCCCCGTTGTTGCCCTGCAATGGTTGTCAAGCTGACCTAAGTACCCCACCATCGCGCTATGCGTGTTACTGGAGGCCGAATAGACATTTGCAACCATCCCCAGTAGCAAGGAGAACTGCGGAGCAATGCTTAGCCCTTCTTTTTCAATATCTGCTATCAGCTTGAGGCAGGCTGCGAGTACGTTCGGGTGTGATTGATCCTTCATCCAAATGTGGTGATCAGCTTGTATTTTTTCGACGCGTTTTGCGAGCTCCGAGCGTAGCAGATCCGTTTCCTTGGTTGCTCCAACACACGCAGGGCATGCGCAGACAATGCCGTAGGGTGCTAGCTCCTTGGCACGATCGCTCTTGGTTCGGAAGAAGTCGCAGTACGAATAAAACAGCTCTTCTCCTTTTTTAATATCGCGAATCGCTCGGAGCTGAAAGGAAAGAGAAGCCACGTCGAAGCAATGACGAGTATTGGGCGAGCAGCTGAAGAAACAACTCAGGACTTGCTTGATAGTCGTATAAATCTAAGTATCTCACCTGTGATTGATCCTCGACATCACATTCAGAACGGCAGTATAAGACCTGGTGACGTCGTCCTCGGGACCATCGTACAAATCTGGCACCTTGTATGCATTGGTGCGAACGATCCCCAACATAGGCCGACTCCCGTCCTCCGTATGACAGTTCGCCAGCGCCATGAATGCCTCCCGGTTTGCTTCAGTCATCCTCTTCACTGCGATGCCGAGGTGTTCCTCCTCCTCGTGCAATGAAACCCGGATCATCTCCCTCTCAATAAGGCCCTTCGAGCAGGGCCCGGCCGTCCTATTGTAAGCGCGTGATAAGTTCGGAAGAGGACGTTTGGCGATCAGGAGAGGCCGTTCGGCGACGATGAGGTCTCCAGTGCGGATGGGACGCGTGACGAATACCCCTAGTCCACCAAACGGCGAAGGGCCAACACGATGGTTTACCTTTCCGCCTTCAGTTTTCTGTACGGGGCGCGGAAATCCCGGGGTGCTGAGGATTCGACGCTTGATGTGCCCAGCCAAGATACACTCGGTCCAATTGTCAGGTTCATCGTCCAGTGTAGCGCCCGATTTCTTGTGTGGGAGAGTAGTGAATACGGTCGCGTCTTCGCTGTGATCTGCGGTGTCTCCGGAGAAACATCGACCAAAAACCTTCTTAGAAACAACGTTCTCAGTTGGCCGTGCTGTTACGATGTTAGGTAGCACAAACTCAATGACACCGGCTACGTTACCGGTCTCAACGTTTCCATGAGGTAACTTGATATGAGAACGTGGAGCTAAGTTCCAAGTGTTCGAAATGGTGAAGTGAAAATCCGTGATGAAGAGACTCGACTAACCGAAAGAGCCATCTCCCTTGGGCAGCACACCTAAACTGGGTGGTGTCGATGCCACTGGCGGGAGCGCGATGCCCTCCGTCTTCTTCGCCTTTGCAGTTGTCAGAAATCCGCGCTTCATCGAGTTGAGGTTGGAAAGTGAATGAGACGGACTGAGAAAGCGTGAGGCGATTGATTACATAGTCCAAATCTTTTCGCCTTCTTATAGAGATGAGAAGCTGTCATGCGCACCGATAAGTTTAGACACCCACAACTGGGCACTATTAATCGTGGCTGCTTTTGCGTAGGCTTCCTCAGTTACTTTTGACGACGAGGTCATAAAGGACGACAGTCCAGCACGAGGATTGAATATTGAATATTGAACAAGCAAGCAGTGTTGACAAAAATAACGCGTCCACAGATGCAAATAACTGGCCAAGGCATCCGAATTAACCAAGCTTCCGTGACTTGTATTCACCAACACGCTCGTTCTCTTTATCTCATCCAAAAATGGTTTAGTCTCCAGGCGTCTTGTCCTGTTAGTCACTCCTGGCCGCAAGTTCGTCAAGGGTCGTTGGCGCTCAGGATGCCAACCCAAGCTTAGCTTTCAGCTCCAGATCACGAGAGGCATTATGGAGGAGGCATTCGAAGAATCAATACAGCCGGTAAACCCGAATGGGATTAACTGTGCCAAAGTAGCTTGAGCGATGCATTCGCAGTCGAGGAAGTCTGCCGTGCGCACTGCACGCGAGGGGGAGGCACTGGATTGTATATGGCAGAAGAGAAATGGGGACCATGGACATATTGGCTACTGAAAGCGTTAATATGAGGTTGGCCGCCGGAATTGAAAGCAAGGATAACTTGCCGACGGACGTCTTGGCCTGCCATGAGCGCCAGCATTACGGTCAAGTCAACGACTACCAGCTCGTTATAAGTCGAGGAAGTGGCAGTCATTGTCTTCGAAAGGCTTCACCTGCATCCGTCAAAACATCAGGTACATATCCCACCTTGATACGCTATATCGATGTGTTCTTACGTTCCGGTCAATGGGAGTTCTTGTAGTAAACCCTCACCATAGCCTACGGACATGGTTGATACCACTCGTCAACTTGGTTCAGCTTCAAAGGGGCGCCAGACGTCAGACAGTGCAGTTGTCATTTCGAGGTTCACAACATGCCTGCATCCAATACTTCAATATCTATCTATCGCATAAGCCAGGTCAGTACCTCTAGCCGCAAACTTGGTATTATACCCACCTTATCCGCACTAACCATCACTATCAGTGTCGCAACCCTCACAGCGTTCTGAAGTAGCCACCTCCTGTCACAACCTAGATCCTCTTGCTACGAGACGACCTATACTTCTCTCTACGTCAAAAGCATTTTGAATTTTTTTTAAAAAGCCTGCCTCAGGATCCTGTCTCTGCAGGAGACATGGACCAAGATTTCTGGTTACCACAGCGTTGGGGCGTGAGGTTGGCCTGTTCGAATGAGAATCAGGTATAAGTTTCGTAGTCACTGAGATGTGCTGATGCTCACTGTGGAGCTATTCCTTGACGGTGTGTCTCTTGGTGTCTTTGATTGGGGAGGTGATGTCAGGTCGGTCCAAACGAACCGGAAGACGAAGGAACGCCATAGTCGTCTAGACGGCTACCGAAATGGGTCCTTTGTCGAAGAGATGGAACCTATAACTGGTAAGCAAAGGAACATCGAAGAGAACTGGCGCATCTTCTCACCGAAAACGAATAAAGGAGCTCCGATATTTCCGAACAAAGCTGGGGTCGGCTCTTCATATAACTTGAAGACCGTCCAGCTTTCATTCCATTTTGTATACCCAGCTACACTCCCAGCTGGCTGCGGGCTCCAAGCTGAGTGGCTCCCAGGCTTGACGCCACCACGTGACTAAACGCGTTCGCTGCTTGTCCAGTATTTGTCCGACACGTGCTGTTTGGATTGCCTTCGGAATTTCGCGCTAGACCTTCGACCACATCGACAACGCCTTCTTCCATCGCCTCCACACACTCTCTAGAGAAACCTTACGCAACGGCGAGCTCGTATGTCTTCCAACATTCCCGTAAGTTGTTTATGTGTTGAATTCCCGGCATTCTCGAGCCCCTCACTTACCCTCATCGTCGTAGACACGCCGTCCGACACGGGCGACCCGCGCCGTTTCTGTCAAGGAGAATGAAAATGCCAATGCTCGCCCTTCCCGGATTTCGACGCGTTCGAAGCCCATGACGGCTGGGACCACCACGTCACTAGGAGGCGGGATCACTCGTGCTACGGCTGCCTCACGAGCCAAGGTTGCTACTGCCGCGGGAGGAGACCCCAAGGCCGACAATCTTGCTGGAAAGCGGAAACGCGAGGCCCTAGGCGAGGTCACTGCAGTCAATAAACCAAAGGGTGTAGTGGCCAAAGGCAAGGAAAAGGAGATCCCCAAGGAGACTTTTGACGGCGTGGTTCTCAACAAGCCAGCGAAGGCCGCTCCAGCACCTCGCCAGCCATTGCAAACCGTTCCATCGCGCACGGCCATCGTCAAGAAAGAGCCGCTCAAAGCAGTCAAGCAAGAGGAAGAGATCGTCGAAGTGCAGGACGAGGATGCCATGGTTGTCGACCCCCCTATTGCTGCTGCAACCATTCCAGGTCTTACAGTTCGGAGGTCGTTGATTCCCAGGGAGCCTATACCTATTATCAGTCGTCGCTCAGACGGTCAGCGACGCGTCTCTTCTCGTTTAGCTGCAGGATCTCGTCAAGACGCCGAGGATGCAGAAGAACGTCGCGTGTTCAAAAAGCGCAGAACCTCGTCTGAGGCCCCCGAAGACCCTGAAGAATCGGAGGAAGTTCTTGCCCGTCGACATGAAGAGGAGGTCGCTGCCAGAATTGCCGCTGAGCTTGAAGCATACGCAGAAGAGCCGGAAGCTGATCCCGAGGATTCGCTGTGGGACGACCTGGACGCTGATGACAATGACGATCCCCTTATGGTTAGCGAATACGTCGTGGACATCTTCAACTATTTGAAACAAGTCGAAGTGAGCTTTGTCTTGCCCTTTCATGTATATTTTTGTCCTTACTCTTCCCCAAGTTAACCACTATGCCAAATCCCAACTATATGGAAAGCCAGAAAGAGCTCGCATGGAAGATGCGCGGAATCTTGACGGACTGGCTTATTCAGGTCCATGTTCGCTTCCGCCTCCTTCCAGAAACCCTTTTCCTCTGCGTCAACATCATTGACCGCTTCCTCTCTGCTCGCGTTGTTTCGCTGGCGAAATTTCAGCTGGTGGGAGTAACTTCCATGTTCATCGCTGCCAAGTTCGAGGAGGTGGTCGCTCCTTCGGTGTCACACTTCCTCGTGTGCGCGGACTCTTCCTACACCGAATCCGAGATTTTGCAAGCCGAACGTTACGTTCTCAAGACGTTGGACTGGAATCTGAGCTATCCCAACCCTGTACACTATCTGCGACGTGTGAGCAAGGCTGACGACTACAACGTGAAGGTCAGAACTCTTGCCAAATACCTCTTAGAAATTGGGGTTCTCGAATGGCGATTAATTGCGGCTCCACCTTCGTTAATGGCTGGAGCTGCAATTTGGCTTGCTCGCTTGGCTTTGGGCAATGAGCATTGGGTAAGGTTTCTGGCTTGCGAACAATAATTCATACTGATTTGTTTTGACAGACGGCGAACTTGGCTCACTACTCTTCCTACAAGGAGAGCGAACTTGTGCCAACCGCCAGCTTGATGCTGAACTACATCCTCAAACCTCTCCGTCATGAGTCGTTCCATAAGAAATATGCAGGGAAACGTTACTTCAAGGTTGGTCTTTTGTGTTCGTGCATTACGTTGTTTCTCATTATTCCCAATCTCGCAGTCGAGTGTATACATGAGAACATGGGCGTTAACTCGCTGGCCTGAGAATACCCAAGTGGACCTTGCCCAGGAGCTACCTCGTCTCAAAGTGGAAATAAAGCTTCACCGAGAGGAGCTAGAGGAAAACGATGAAGGGGAATTTGCAGATGTACCTGCCACCTTATCAGAAGCCCGGCGTCGTTGAAAGGCTCCCTTCGTCGATTGTGGTACACATTGACAGGCGAAACCGTCGACTGGACTCAATATTATTTAAAGCTACCCCATCTTATTTTGGCATCTTCCCCCCCACGACGACTCAATAAACGCTGTATGATAACCCCATAGTCCTATGGTCATATGTCTTCCTACCTGGACTCAGAACTCCCACCAAGCATATCAACTTCATACCCTCACAGCATCGCATTGTCACTATACATTTCATTCAATGTTTCACTCTAGTCCATCAATCACCATCCACTTGCCACCGTGGCGTGATATGTTTATTACCCATCCCGCCCATCCATGCATACACCCCGCCGTTTGATTTTCCTCCTTTATCGCCTCTCCCTCGTCACTGTGCTCTTAAAACTTTCGATTGATCTGTGTCTTTTGTGTTCTGTTCACAACGTCGTCGCTCCCAATCCATGTTCTCGTTTGGGCCAAGCTTTGCACCCATGCTTTTTGTCGATTCAAAACTCTGTGATCCAGTACTACGTGAAGCCGCACTCAAATTCACATCGCACGGACGCTCTCCTTACTTTAACTTGCCTTTTAACTGGTTGCTCTCCCCTTCTGGCTAAGCTCTGTCTGTGTCCCACTTGATTTGTCGCTACTTCCCCTTCACGTTTCAAACCCAAGTCACTTTCCTCGTTTTTTCATCCTTTCCCATGATCAAATCCTCAGGCTCGCATTTTCAACTTGGGGATCATACTTCAAAACTCTACAATTATCCATTCTATGTATACACTTTTTTATCATACTACATTCTGGATGGGCGGCGCCATGTAGCCTAGAAATACAATTCTCCTTCCATTACGCGTTATAATGTTATCATGAAGCCAGTGCGAGGGTATCTTGAGACTGGGAAGGGGGCGGAGAGAACTCAAAACCAAGCCAAGCTGTATGTATCATGGATCCTTCACCGTCGGATTCTTGACCAGGGGTCCAATCTCACTCGCAATTCTTCGACCAAGCGCGTCGCAGCAGGGAATAGCGTTGAAGAGCATTGGCACGTTCTGGGCCTCGGTAAACGCCAAGCCAGCCTTCCACACCTCGTTCGGAGCTGATGGGAGAGGTTTGATAACATTTTCTGCAACCAAAATCTGCAATACCAATCAGTGACGGTCGACGACTTCGTAACACCAAATGCGCACAGGCAACGCGCTCCAAATCCAATCACGGCACAACCACCGCGGATTATCGCGCGGGGCCGTAAGCCTAGGAACACACTCAAAGATAGTTTCCAGCGCGTCCGCCGAGATCGCGTTTGGCACCTTTCCAAGTAGCATCACACCAGCCAGCAAGTACGATCGAGTGCGCGTCGGCTTCGGGTCGAATATCCAACGTTCTTCTCTTCCATTCGATAGGTCTTTCCTGACGTGAAAGATACGGCTGTTCTTTGCTTCAGAAATTGAATTAGGTCTTTTGGGAGTGACAAGAAAGGCGGTGTGGTATTTGATTGGGTTGTCTGGGGTAAATTCGCGATGGAAGAATGCTAGATAAATGCGACGTTTGTTTCTTCTGCGACCGAACATGTTGGCTAGAGGGCATCAGGGTGCGTCTACAGCGATGCAGACTAAAGCTGTTGCAGACGAATGCAATGGTAACAGGTAAACATGAAATATTTCAACTTTGCGCTTCGATCACAACAACGATCGCGGCAACCCTCTGTTTTTACTCCAGTATCTGAATCCCTAGGTCAAAACGGACGTCGGAGACAGATCAGAGTTGAACAATCCATTAAGACCTGGGACACGTTGGCCTTTGACTTAGGTGAGTACAACGCCCAGTACAAATTATAGGTTCAATCAAGTTCACTTCAGTTTAGAACCCCACATCTGAATCCCTTTATAAATGACAGAGTTATGTTCCATATGCCCCGCGAAACGTTCCAGAGAGATAGGCGCAAGCACGTCCTCGCGTTTGATACCACAACATTCAATGGAATTTCATGCACGGAGGTCGTGCACTAGCTCTACTTATCGGCCATGTCAGCACCATAACTACTTCCCAGCACCCCCGGTCCCGGTCAAGTGCTAGGCGTCAGAGGGGTGACAAGGTGCGATGAGCGCAACCAGACCGAAGAGAGGCTCATAAGTGAGTATCAGTTCCAATAAGGGGGGTTTACGACGTAGAACTTACGAGCTGTGAAAGAAAGATACGGGATTCAGAGCAACATCGGCACTGCCAGGAAATGCACTCCGCTATGTCCCTTTTAACATCTCCGAACTCCAAAAAATCGCGTACGCTGCAGTAGGCGAACGCAGCTGCACCAAATTCGCGAAGGTCCGTACTATGTACACGAACTTTTCTTCATATGTACTTACATAGCTGAAGTCTCAAAATCAACGCATCGCAGGGTCATAAAACAGAGCCTTAATCCAATGGCTATGAAGCAATCGCCAAGATCTCAGTCAAACATACCAGCACACCCTTCCTTACCACACCTACCGAGGGTGGCCACTTTTACGTTCGCTCTCGAAGTGCTCGGGCTCCCTGCTCCGCCTGTTTTCTTCTGGAATTCGCTCCGCGTGTCTTCCCTGGAACGGAATGGGACAAGCTGCGACAGGGATCGTAGAGGGCCTTAAGGAATCGTTCGCCGCCCCATGTACATGTGGTTCTCAAGTAAAATGAAATAGACAATCAAAAAAAAATTCCCCAAGCTCTTTTCATACATATATGAACACAGCATTGAACAAGGTCATGACCACTCTCGCCAAGGTCTAGGACCGTCGAGCTGTTGCTACGCCAACTGAGATAAACGACACTGGCTCAATCTGTTGATTTCTAACACCTGACTTTGTATTTACATACCATCTCCAAAGTGTTCTACAGCTGCGTTTGCTTTTGATAGGTTACACTTGCCCATATATTCAATGCAATTCTCATGCTTTGACTGTAAGGGCCTATTATCCAATGTACCACCAGGAAAACACGGTGGCCCTCCAATAGCTTGTAGCTGAAACCTCTGTGATCCTTGTCAGGCTGCATGAAGCCATGGTGCTGAACCTCGACGTTCGAGCGAGCGAGCAACATAGCACGAAATTTATTAACGATAGGAAATCGCCACGTATGCCTCAATGGCAGGTACCAGGTTTCTGGTTGGATTTGTCCTTCAACATCTTTCATCGGCACGGCAACTATGTCGGCAATGATGAGTGTGCTAGAATTGCACTGAGCCACTTGAACCACCCCAAAAAAGTAGCCCTGTTGCAGCATCATTTCTGTAGCTGTCGTAAGCTTGGTTATATCACCGCGATATCAGAATAAATTACATACAGTACGGGGAAGGCCTTCAACATTGAACTCCGCATACTTCATCCCCGTTTCGTGTACCAAGCCATCGGGGGGAACGACCAAAACCGAAGCTTGGATTGCCCCATGATCTGGAGCTTGCTGTCTCACACGAGGGAGGAAAGACATATTGAGTGATGCTTGATTTTCTCCCTGAGACCGCTGTCGACGCCGAGGAGTCGTAGATTAGGGGAACTCAAATTTGGAATTAAGTTCCCCTATTCAGCCAAAGACGAAGTGGGATCAGCTTCAACACGACAGACATTGAAGCCACACGGTTGCCAACAATTGCCGGGAGCCCTTCGGAGCCTGCAACGAACACAGAAATCACTCCAACCTCACGTCGAACTCTGCTTGGGCGCTCGTGGAGGTGGTGGTGGGGCCTCGTCGCCGTTCATCCAGGGTGGGTGGATGTTGGGCCGTCGTCTGCATTCGTCAATGATGGCAGAGGGCTCTTGTCCTTGTTCGTTGATGCTGTGGTGTACATCAATCCCGTTTCGCGTACCAGACCACCAGGAGGATCGATCGCAATTTTGGAAGCCGTCTCATAAGTGACCACCCTCGCAGAACTTCGGCGAAGGCCCAGGAAAGAAATAATACTCGGTCATTCGTCCTCATGGTCGGCGAAACATGGCGAGACAGAGGTTGCGTTCAAAGGCACACAGTGCAGATATCAGACCTGAAATCTAGATTGGTCTCAAGGCTCGGGCAATGTTGCAGACATACGCACCTGCTTATTGGCTACCTGTTCTAGTCTGACTGTGCTGAAAACCCTTCAATTAACGCGACACTTTCGAGTCTTTGGCGCACCTCGGATGCAAGAGCCTAAATTCGGGTTTGTGAGCGTCTATGCCTATGTAGTGATCAACTAGCAGCTGGCGGCGAAAGCCGCTTCCTCTCGACAAATAACAAGAACTTCCGTCAAACTCTCTCATTCTCGTCACCGTTGCCACTTGACAGGCAGATTTCCTTACAACTAGTATACAACAGCATCCCTTTTTATACTTTTCAGGGGCATTGCTCTCTTCCTTTCACCAACAACCACCATGCGCCTCTCGCGTCCATTGGCAGCCCTCTTCATCACTTTCAGCATACCAGCAGCCTACGCATGGGGAGCAGCAGGTAAAGTCACTTCCAACCTTCCAATTCCCCACCCTTCTTCTAACCGTTTCTATAAGGACACGAAATAATAGCCACCATAGCCCAAATGTACCTACACCCCTCCATCCTCCCCACCATCTGCGACATCCTCAATTTCTCAGAAGACGAAACCCAACCGGAACAACCATGCCACCTCGCCCCCATATCCACCTGGGCCGACAAACTCCGGTTCAAAATGCGCTGGTCCGCCGCACTGCACTACGTCGGCTCCCTAGACGACCACCCCTCCCAAACGTGCTTGTTCCCCGGCGAACGCGGGTGGGCGGGCACCCGAGGCGGAAACGTGTTGGACGCTATCAAGAACGTGACGGGTCTCTTGGAAGATTGGACGAGGGGAGAGGCGGGTGACGCGACGGCGAATGAGGCGTTGAAGTTTTTGGTCCATTTTATGGGGGACTTGCATATGCCTTTACACCTTACTGGACGGGATCGCGGTGGGAATTCGGATAGGGTTCTTTGGAGTGGTCGACAAACCAGTCTGTTATTCCTTTTTATTCGTTCTACATACTTATTGAATAACAACGTAGACCTCCACTCTTTATGGGACGGCCTCCTCATCGCCAAAGCCATCCGTACAGTCCCGCGGAACTACTCCAGACCGCTGCCCTACCCGGACGTAGAGCACGCACTCCGCGGAACGATCTACGATTCGTACATCCGGCGTATCATGTGGGAGGGCGTATTTCAGAAATGGAAGGACGATGTACCAGAGTGGTTCTCTTGCCCTGAGACGACTCCTCCCCCTCCTGCTCGAGGATGGCAACAAGTCGTGATGAGCTTGAAACGCCTAGCTGGAAAGCAAGGCGTAGAGATTGGGCCGGACACGGATGTGCTTTGTCCTTATCACTGGGCTAAACCTATCCACGCGCTCAATTGCGACATCGTTTGGCCGAAAGAGTTGGACGAGCCGCCTTACGGTGGCGGTGGGAGTAAATTCGTGCGTGACTCTTTCCCTCTTTGTTACTTTTTATCTCAAAATCGTGAACAGGCGGACGAGGATGTCGCCGGTCGTCCACCGAAACCCCATCCTCCCCTTCTAGAACTCGACACGCCAAAGTATGCTGGCGTTATTGAGGATACGATGGTCGTGGAGAAACTGCTTGCGCAGGGCGGTATACGGCTTGCTGGGATTCTCAACTACCTTTTCTTAGAAGAAGCAGCGCGATCTTAACCTTTATCTGTAAGTCATATATTTTGTTTATATATCCAATGTGTATCTCTATCCCGTGTTGCTCTATATCAATTAAATGTTATCCTTGCATCTCTAAATCACCCTCAAAACCTCCCCCATCTTGCTCAACGCAACCTCATTTTCCTCCTCCGTACCCACCGTTATCCTCAAACACCCCTGACACCCCACCTCCCCACCTCGATACCTAACCACAACCCCGTTCTCTTCCGCCAGCGCTTTATACACCCTCTGTGCTCTTTCGCTATCCGGCTCCCCACTCCCGTCTTTTGTCAGTACAGGCATCAGAATAAAATTCGCGTCGTTCCCGCCGATCGCGCTCCCAAGCCCCAGTGGCGCCAAGGACGCGAGTTTTTGGAGGAGCGCTGCGCGACTTTGTACGAGGGTGGACACCTTGGCGCGCATTGAGGTGACGGCGGTGGGTGTGAGTGCTGCACGGGCGAGGTGGGCGGTTGGTGTGGATATGTTGTAGGGTGCTTTGGTGTTGGTTAGGATTTGGATGAGTGGGGGTTGGGCGATTGCGATTCCTAGGCTACAAAAAAAGATGAGGGCAAGTGATATGATGCTGAAGGACAGACGTACCGGATGGCAGCGAGCCCGAAACTCTTGCTTACGGTCTGCATGACGCATAGATTCGCGTATTCCTCGACCAAAGAGACGGTGGATGTGTTCTCGTTTGCAAAGTCGATATAGGCCTCGTCTACGACGACGATCCCACTAAACTTTTCATAGTCCAGCAGCGCTTTTATGGATTTGAGGGAGATGAGCGTTCCGGTTGGGTTTCCAGGCGAACAGAGGAATATAAGTTTGATATTAGGATCGGCGTCGATCGCTTTCTTCACCTATTCCCAAAGTCCTCAGTCAAAATTAAGCGATGTGAGAATCCTCAAAGACTCACCTCATCAACACGAACACTAAACCGTCCCCTCTCACCCCCTTCTCCCTCCCCTCCCGTCAACTCCAACGGAACCTTAACAACACCCACATCATTTACCTGCGCACACACCGCATACATCCCATACGTAGGCGGCGTCGTCAAGATCTTCTCCCCTCCCCCAGGAACAACACACACCCTCATCAACAAATCAATCACCTCATCGCTCCCTACACCCAAAAACACGTATTCTGCCCCCGGGACGTTACGCAGCGACGCGATGCGCTGTTTGATGTCTGCGTGGGATGGGTCTGGGTATCGGTGTAAATCCAAATCGAGGGTTGTTTGTAGGTCTGCTATCACGCCTTCTTCGCCTGAGAAGGAACGGGTGATGGAGTGCCCAAAGGCATTCTCGTTCGCGTCGAGGAGGATGCCTTGCTTGTAGTCGTCCCGCGCACAGCGGTAGGGGTGTAGAGAGAGGATGTTGGGTCTGATTACTTTTTCGATGTTAAAGTGGGGTGGGTGGTTGGGTTTTGAGGAGGGTGAAAGGCCGAGGATGGGCATGGTTGAAGTGGAAAAGGGGAGGAGTCATTTAAGAAATTTGTGATCGGTCTGATCTTATCTTATCTCCTTCAATTTCCCCTGTCATTCAGGGCGACGAGGACCTTGTTGAATTCCTTATAACAAGCATCATGAAAATGCCAACCACCTTACGGGAATGCGTCTTGTACCAACCGTTGCCGTTGCCCTAGGCTGCTGCGCCAGCATTCCAACGGCGTATGCATGGGGGTTCGCTGGTACGTTCACAGTTAAAATCATCAATCCCCATCTCACTCTTCCATCCAGGACACGAAATAGTAGCTACAATCGCGCAGATATACCTCCACCCAACCGTCCTACCAACCCTATGCACCATCATCGACTTTTCCTCCACCAATTTTTCCCCTCCGGACTCGACATGCCACATAGCGCCCATAGCAACCTGGGCAGACCGATACAAGTCCAACATGACCTGGTCCGCCCAGCTGCACTTCATCGGCGCTCTAGACGACCACCCCCCTTCTTCCTGTGCGTTCCCAGGAAAGAACGGATGGGCTGGGACCAAGCGCGTCAACGTCCTTGATGGGATGAAGAACGTCACGGCGTTATTGCAGGGATGGGTAAAAGGCGAGACAAGCGACGACGCGGCGAATGAGGCGCTCAAGTTCCTGATCCACTTTTTCGGAGACGCGCATCAGCCGATGCATATGACTGGCCGAGAACGTGGTGGGAACCAGGTTAAAGTCGCGTTCGGGGGAAAAGAAACCAGTCAGTCCTATCCTGGATGGGTATTACCTGAATACTTACTTACGGACATTTCACTCAGACCTCCATGGAGTATGGGACGACTCCCTCATCACCAAAGCCATATCCACAATCCCGCAAAACTACACCCTCCCACTACCCTACCCAGAAATCGAACAAGCCCTCCGCGGCTCTTCCTACGACCCTTACATCCGGCGTATCATCTGGGAAGGCATCGTCCAAAGATGGGCTGACGAAATTCCAGGCTGGCTATCCTGCCCAGACGTGGTCAAGCGGACTTCCGTTGACTCTCAGGTTGCATTGGGTTTGGGGGGAACAACCGGCATTGAGATTTTACCGGACAACGACGTGCTGTGTCCTTACCACTGGTCCAGACCCACCCACGACCTCCTCTGCGACGGCGTTTGGCCAAAAGAGGTCGATGAACCGCCTTATAAACTTTCTCAGGATATCGAGTTTGACATTGCTATTTAGGACGACAACCCACAGCTACCGTTACTAGAACTTGACACTCCAGCCTATTCCGGCATGATTGGGCAACGCTGGCTCGTCGAGAAACAGCTGGCGCTTGGCGGGCTGCGCTTGGCTGGTATACTCAACTATATCTTTGTCAACCAGGGTCAAAGGGGCGCCTTCTTCGAGGAGTTTTGAGTGGCCATTGCTTTGATGCACTCAATGAACATATGATAATACTTTATCATTACGTGTTTCAACTTGGCTCCTCTCTCTATCTATCCATTTGTCATTTCTTCTATCTGTCTGCTTTTATGGAATTGCAACAATTTCTCACTCCAGTGCGCTTGACATTACCATCATACCTTTCCTTCGATACTGATCATGTACTCAACCATTTGATCAGCTCGCACCCAAAGAAATAACTGCACGCCGCAGATCGCCGAAGTGAAGCGAGGCATGCCTCGTGTACAGTGCGCCTCCAGAGGCGACAATCTGAGCATTTTCACCTACCACCTCGAACCTCCCAGACAGTATGCTGAACCGGTTTCGTTCAAGAAAGATGCCTTCTTCCCCATCCCTCCTTCAACGATTTCACACGATCTTCAAGCGCCTAGGAAAAAATCAATCAAATGAGTGGAATTTACCACTTCCTCCAGAGCTAATGTGTCACATCATCGACTCCTACCTTGCCACATCCACGATCATACCTTTGTACCTCGCCTTCCCAGTTCTCCGGCCATATTGTCATTCACGACACATCACCATCTACATTCGCGAAGCCTGGAAACCCCATCAAACGATCTACTTCAAGATCGGAATATCCAAATGTCCTCCTACCCGAGAACAAGACGACTCCATGTTCCTTTCGACTCTAGATGACATTGGCTATGCGGGCACGAAAAAAAATCGCGGCTTCCTGTCCCTGGTTAGCGATCTAACGCACGATCTCATATCAATCGAACTGGACATCACAGTACGATGGGAAAAGCTTGACGAATACGTGCAAGGCTACATCTTTGCTCTTCTACAACGCACCGGCTTATGCTCAGTCAAGCTGGAATACTGTGATATTCCCGTAGACCTATTGAGTGTGGTACAAAATCTCAAAACACTCGACGTCGATATGTCTTTGGGACGTCCCGACTACGTTTCTTTGTCGGGAGAAAGAGAAAAGGTGTACGTGGAAGAAGTTCGTCTCCGTGGAGGTCTCCCGTATTGCCTCATCGGCGCAGGGACGCCGTTTGACTGGTCCAGATTGAGGGTGATTGATTATTACGGATATCACAATGGGCCACAACCGTTACTTCAGTTGTGTTCCTCCTCTCTTCAAATGTTACACCTTGAGTTTTACGATGAAGACGGTGAGCAGTTATTTCTTCCTAATTCACCCTAAACTCACATCATACTCCCAGCATATATCAACCTCGGCGTTCTTACCGACCTCCGTCACCTCACATTGTCTATCAGTCTTTCCTACACTGTCGAACAGACAGCGTATACCAATCCTGGAACCTACTCCTCAATTGCGCCGTTTCTTTGCATCCCCTACATATTGGCGTCCTGCAACGGACACACTAGTCCTTATACTGCGTACGGTTGACCGTCAAGATTTGAGGCAGTGTGACTGGCTCTCCGTGGATAGAATTTTCGAGAGGGAGGGGACATGGATGTCGCTAAAGGAGGTACTGGTTGTGAATTTTAAGGTCGGAGAAGGTTGCACCTATCGGAAACTGCAACCCAATCAGTTGAAGGATATTGAAGCTAGTCCGACACCTTGTCTTCAGGCAAAGGAGGTGATAAAGTGGCGTCAGTATGTTAAGGGTGGCATGTAATCCTTTTCCATGGAGTACTTAGTATAATCCAGTCGAGATACCAACTTCTTTTCCATTTTTCATTTTTATGATTGATTCTGCTTGGAGCTATAGGGTGTTTCATAGTACAACTTGTCATTTGCAAAGTTGGAAATCCAAAGTTGAGCCTCTTCAAGTTTTCTAAACTTGGGACCCAAATTGACGTCGTAACCATAATTTGGATCCACCAACAAGTTTGCTTCTTAAGTGCCAAACTTTGCTCTCCAACTTTACCTCCTGTGAAACCAAAGCATTATTCTTCACTTCTTTTACAGCCTTGACCGATATCTTACGAAACAGCTCTCAGGCATTACACTTCAAAACTGCGCGAGACTTGCGCAGACCTCAGCGTAGTGCGCACTTTTGAGTTTCGTGGCCGTCTTCTTTATGCACACTACTGTATGCGAGCAGTTGACCGTGGCAACTGCGACCAAAGAGACCGTTCCGATGGGTGCGTTTCTGGAGATGGGCTATAATGAGCATGTCAAGAACAGGAGTACTATTGCCAAACCGGTTGGTCAATGCACTGGATTCAGCTATTACGTTACTGAATCTTTTTTGTTACAGCAAGGCATCAGGACAAGACTGACTTTGAATTTTTCTCTGCAAACGCAGGGAGCTGCTGCTTTCCAGAAAAGCGGCAATACCACATCAAGCCAGAAACCAAGTTTGATAACTTAGCAAGATAACGACAAGGAAGGATCTGCTACAAGCTCGCGAGAAAAAGTGAAAGGAGAAACTTCGATATCCTCTGATGATAGTTCCCAGCTTTTAACTCCAAACCCAACCCGGACTGTGCCTTCTTTACCAGAAGTACGCCGTCGTTCGTTGCCTCTTTCTGTTATTCAGGGCGAACGAGGACCCTCGAGGACCTTGTTAAAGCGCATTGTACAATCCCGAAACATTTCATGTTTGCATTCCTTGGCAACATCTTTTTTTGGTCTATATTGCTTGAGACACACCCTGATGCCCTCCAGCCAACATGCTCTGCTCGGTCGCAGAAGAGACAAGCGCTGCATTCTTCCATACCCCAGACAACCCAATCAAATACCGCATGCCGTTCTCGTCACTCTCAAAAGACATTAAAACTTCTGAAGCAAAGAACAGCCGTATCTTTCGTGTCAGGAGGTACCTATCGAACGGAAGAGAAAAGCGTTGGATATCCGACCCAAAGTCAACCGCACTTGCTGGCTGGTGTGATGCTACTCGGAAAAGTGGATCTCAGCGCACGCGCTGGAAACTATTTTTGAGAGTTTCCCGAGGCTCACAGCCCCACGCGATGATACGCGGTGGTTGTGCCGTGATTGGATCTGGAACGCGTTGCCTGTGTGTATTGGTTTTACCTGCTGTGAGGCTTGGAGCTGTCGACCGTCACTGATGGGTCTTACTACAGATTTTGGTTGCAGAAATGTTATCAAACCTTGGAAGAGGAGTGATTGGTCTTATCTTATCTTATCTCCTTGTCTCCCCTGTGCTTGTTAAGCATTGAGATCAAACCCCTCGTCGCCCGGAATGAAATGCCAACCGTCACCTTACAGAAATGCGTCTTGTATCAACTGTTGCCTTTGCCCCAGGCTGCTGCGCCAGCTTTCCAACAGCGTATGCATGGGCTTCACTGGTGTGACGTTCACCGTTGACATCAACAATCCCCATCTTACTTTTCATCCAAGACACGAGATAGTAGCTACAATCGCACAAATATACCTCCGCCTAATCTTCCTACCGACCCTATGCACCATCATCGACTTTTCCTCCACCAACCTCTCCCCTCTGGACTCGACATGCCACATAGCACCCGTAGCAACCTGGGCAGACCGATACAAATCCAACATGACTTGGTCCGCCCAGCTGCACTTCATCGGCGCTCTAGACGACCACCCCCCTTCTTCCTTGCGCGTTCCCAGGAAAGAACGGCTGGGCTGGGACAAAGCGCGTTAACGTCCTTGATGGGATGAAGAACGTTACGGCGTTATTGCAGGGATGGGTCAAAGGCGAGACAAGCGACGACGCGGCGAATGAGGCGCTCAAGTTCCTCATCCACTTTTTCGGAGACGCGCATCAGCCGATGCATATGACTGGCCGAGAACGTGGTGGGAATCAGGTTAAAGTGGCGTTCGGGGGAAAACAAACCAGTCAGTCTTATCCTCGATGGGTATCACGCAAACACTTACTTACGGACATTTCACTCAGACATCCACGCAGCATGGGACGACTCCCTCATCACCAAAGTCATATCCACAATTCCGCAAAACTACACCCTCCCACTGCCCTACCCGGAAATCGAACAAGCCCTCCGCGGGGCTTCCTACGACCCTTACATCCGGCGTATCATCTGGGAAGGCATCTTACAAAAATGGGCTGACGAAATTCCAGGCTGGCTGTCCTGCCCAGACGCGGTCAAGCGGACTTTCGTTGACTCCCAGATTGCGTTGGGTTTGGAGGGAACAACCGGCATTGAGATTCTACCAGACAACGACGTGCTGTGTCCTTACCACTGGGCCAGACCGAGCCACGACCTCCTCTGCGACGGTGTTTGGCTAAAGGAGGTCGACGAGCCGCCTTATAGACGAACTGTACGCATTCCTCTTTTTTCAGGATATCTAGTTTGACATTACTCTCTAGGACGACAACCCACATCCACCATTACTGGAACTTGAAACTCCAGCTTATTCCGGGATGATTGGGCAACGATGGCTCGTCGAGAAACAGCTGGCGCTTGGCGGGCTCCGCTTGGCTGGTTTATTCAACTATATCTTTGCCGACCAGGGTCAAAGGGGCGCTTTCATCGAGGAGTTTTGACTAAGCAGTGCTTTAGAGCAACATATTTTTTGATATTATCATTAACAAGGTGAACGTTGTAATCTAAGTCTTCAACCATATCATATCCTCCTTTAAACCAAGAACATATTGATCAACGCTCTTCAACCATCCTTGATTATCGGTACCACCACCCCCCAAAGGCTGTTTTGTGAAACTGGCAGCAATGTCATCTGGCACCACGAAGATGAATCGCCAGCGAGTGCCCAGTGGTATCGAAGATCCAAGGCCCACTACAAGTCGGGAGTACAACTTCTGAATTTGCTTAAATCCCATGACAACCACAGGATGCGTTGTCTGGGAAGTAATTTGGATACCAGTAAAACCTTGACTTGGATCATACAGGATTGACGCAACAGCTGGGAAGTTTAATGGATTGGGCATAGTGAGGCATAGAGGCTTCTTGAGCGTGACTGCAACCTCAAGCAGCTGGATGAATGTCAGTGGGTAGAACGATGAGCAGCTGGTAGGACCAGGATACACCCAATGGGAGGTCATAGAGTCATCCAGAGACCGGATGCGAAATGGCATGTTTTCTTTGAGACCGGCAAAAAACTTGAGGACCTGTCTCTCGAACATTTGGCCCCGAAGGATCCCCATCTTAGGTGCCTTCATAATCGAGCGGTAGGCATTGTACGAAACATCTGCTTCAAGTTGACGTTTGAATAAGTTATCCAAAGCCCATGGGGAAACTGCCGCTATCTGAGCTTCGGCTAATAAGCGTTGATCATCTTTTGGGGACATCTCAAATCCCGAGTATAACGAGGAGGTTGTTGAGAAGTCATCAAACAAGGACCGAAAATCACGTATCCGAAGGGAGACACGGCAAATCTCATTTAGCATTGTTGCCTTGATTTGAGTGAAAATTAAGGGGGAAGAGCTTGCATAGAAGCAATTTCGGGGGTTGAACCCAAAGTAGGCCGTAGCTTCTTGGAGCCGTGAGTAGACGAGGTCGTTGCAATGAAGGAATAATCTGAAGGCTATCAGTGCATTCCACACACCTGGTAGAAGCTGGTCACCCACCCAGTCAATACAAGCTCCTGAGGTGACCACAACTTTGTGAAAAACTTCTTTACCGACCAAGTGGACATCTTTCCCAGCCACCTTGCACATTCAGCATCAGGTGAAGAGGCAGCAATCATTTGAATCTTCTCATTTTGAAGGATAAATTGTGGTGGTTGGCTTGTATCCCCATTGGCATTACAAATGGCAATGATAGGTTCACCTGACCAGTGCCTGACTTCTGTGATGAACTCAGAGACATGATACACTGGACCATCGAAAGTTTGGAATAAGCATGGGGTGCCTGCAATCATACACTTGACCAAATGAAGATAAAGGTAGGAAGTTTTTCCTGTGACTAGGTGAGATTCCAACATGAGAAACAAAAACAGGGTCTCACCAGTGCCTGGTTGCCCAGTAATCAATGTGGAGTGGGCAGCCTCAGTTGGTAGGCCATCCAACATCTCAGACAGTACCTTGTATTCCTGGCGGATGAGAAGCAGTGATGGCATTCGTGGTGGCAGCTTCTTGAGTCCCAAGCTGTGTAGGTCAAGATATTCTAGTGTTGTGGGAAAGAGTGAGTGGAGCTCATCATCAATATCATCCCCATCATCATTGTCATTGCTAGCATTGATTGAGGGGAGGGAGTTAAGAAAGTCAAGTTTGACTGATCGAGCACCATCCATCTTGGCCTGATATGTTTTCTCTTGACGATCTGGGTAAAGCTCTGAAAGACACTTTTCCAAATTTTCATAATCTGAGTATGTCAGATTGACTGTGTGGAACACCTTGCTCCTAAGGTCTTGACGTTTCCAAAGCTTTTCATGGAGTTCCAAAAGCCATTCATCATCTTTAGGTGAATGATGAAAAGAGTTCTGAAAGGCTGAGTGAGGATAGCATGGAAGATGCAAGAAGGTCAAGCCTCAGTCAATGTGAAACATTGTGACTCACCAGACTGCCATCTTGGAACTGGGCTCTGTAAATGAGCTTTTTTGCAGGGTGGTTGATCTGCAATATGTAATGGCAAAAGTAAAGATTGTGGCTCAATGGCTATGGCTCAGGAACACCCACCATTGCTGTCATCTTCCAAGCAAACAAAAAGAAGTGGATATTGATCAATTGACCTATGGGTGGCAGCTCATAGATACGCACCCATTGGAAACTTCACAATAACATGAAGCCTATGATAGCCAACTTCGTCTGATTTTGGAAAGAGATCCTGTAAGTCATCACTGGATTTCGCCAAGAGTGTGGCACAATTTTTGATTTTTTCTTCATTTTCAATGCGTTGTTGAAGGTTGTCTTCTGGAGCAATGGGCATTGGCTTGTTTAGCTATCATCAGTTTGATCAGCTAAGGGATTACAGATTAATATCAAATGCACTCACTTTGTAAAATAGGGGTTTCTTCAAGGTATCATATCTTGGAACCATTCTTCTTATTGAAGCCTTTAGTTCCGAAACCGTGTCATCAATGCACATTGTAAGACGAAATATTGGCTCGTCGACATGTTCACCTAGAATCATGCACCATAGTCTCACTTCGTTGTCCATCTAAAATGGGCTGTCGATGAGCTGCAGTGAAGTCTAGAAGAGAACTTGGTGATGTCACATGTCTGGCATTCAAAATAGATTATACCACCGTCCGGTGACGTGTGACAGCGCGTTTGTCACCTCACCCAATTGGGATGTGTCCAACTGTGTCGCACCAAATACTTCTACATCTCCCACGGATTGCGAACCTTCCGAGTTCACTAAACCACTTACTCCTTTGGGTCTGCTGGACCGTTTGAGTGCTGTCCTTGCTTCACCTCACCAGCCAAGTCAAGTTAGGGGAAGGTAAATAGTTCACGCAACCCAAAAGTGCGTTATGGTTAAAAAGCTCTGTTCTTACTAGGAAAGCCTTGAAGTCCATTCTAGCGCAAAGTGTTACCCAAGTGTTACCCACATTGAATCTCTTGAGGATCTTCGAGGTTATGCCCATGCCCTTCCTTTTCTCAAGTTGTTTACCTGGGATCGACGAATCTGCGACACCTACAGTTGACCGACAGTTCAATTTGGAGAACATAGTGCTCAATCTGAAGTATTGCTTTTCGATCTCCAGACTTTTAGAACGCTTATGCCTCGTGTCAAAAAGGCCGATTTCGCTCTTCTGCTGGGTCGCGAGTCTTCAAATACAATTGCTGCATCAAACAAAAACATCCAGTTTTTTACCTCCGAAATTTTCTTGACCCTCAGTGCTGTTGAGAATACGGATGACCTCTCAAATCGCCTTTTCCTCAGCTATTCGGGTGTGCATATGGCTTGTTTGTCTACGAGTGTTGGACGGGAACTTACGCAGACCCTTTCCCTCCACACCCTACTCCGGAAGGTTGACTTATACGAGTGGGGTGCCATGATTTTTTTTTTTTTGTGTCAAATTTAAGTCTATCGGGGCCGAGCCCCATGTCAGAGACTACCTAAGGCCCCCAGTGCCTGTGTTCCTGAACCGTCCCTTGCACTGGTGGAGACACGCCCATGGCAACCATTCCCCCACGCAGCCCGGCACAGAAACGCCGTTTAGGGACGCGTCTATATAGCGAGCGGGGTAGCCTCGTTCTCTCTGCTTATCTGTGCATTCCATCGGTCTTGTGTTTCGTCTTCTAAGTACCCGACCGCATTTGCGATAGGTACAGCCTGGGTACAGCCGTATGGAGGTGAATGAAAAAGTTTGTTTTGGCGTGTTGCTGTTTTCTTGAGTGCGACTTTGAAGATTATTTGGCCTGGCAACGTGTGATTTTGAGCTTGAGGTCCGCAAAGGCTGAGGTGCGGGTAGAATAGGTGGTGGGGTGGGGTATTGAGCGCGAGCCCTCTGACTGTAGGCCAGCTTGGCCGTCATTGCTTCATGCTTTCGGAACAATCCCTGTAAACAGAGTGCTACCTGTCAATCATCCTCGGAGTCCAGTTGAGACTATGGCATCTCCTAGCGTGTTCTTGAATCTCCCCGACCGCCCCACATAGCGAAGCAGCTCCTTTATCCTGTCCAAACTCGCCAGTATCGCCTTAAGGTCCCTCGAATAGCGCCCTAGGGCCCTGTCCATATCGTAACGCTCTGCCAGTGCCGCATATGCTTGACATTCAAACAGGTAGTGTACCACCGTTTCCGTTATTGTCAGTCGACCCGTCCCCCAGCACGACTCACACCGGCTGGTGATCGACCTCTTGATGCGGTACAGCTAGCTGTTCAATGGTAACCCCCATGATTTTTTACTGTCTCAGTGCCCAAATGACTGGAAAGGCTCGCCTTACCTTCAGCCAGGCTTACTGAAGGGATTGCGGTCGTCGTCCACCTCCACCGTGACCATGAACATCTTGCAAACCTTTGCAAAGGTCCATGAGGATCGCCTCATCCTTGTGTACACAGCAGCTCTGCCTTGGTGTTTGCATTCAATGGATCAGTTTGCGGAGGACATTGGCATTTTTTCAGACCAAGAGGGGAAGCAAAGCATCTAAAAGACCTTTGCAAAAGGACATTCTAGGACACGGGATGATCTTCTTGGCAACCGGTTTCACTTTCCAGTCTTTGAGAGCATCGCGGCCTTCACATTCACAACTGGACCGAAATCGTGACCCTACTACTTGAACTTGTTCTCAACAAAGAATCCTGGCTGAGAATATAAGTGATGCAAATCTTGAAGGTGTTTTTCCAGCAAAGAGGAACACACAATCCCATGGAACATATTGGTTCAGAATTTCTCATGCCGCTCCTTCGCTTTCTCGAACCCCACAGGCTCTTGACATCTTGGAGGAGCAATGTGCGGCGGCCCAGCTGCCAGGCATATTTTCCGCATGAGTCTGCACGTTGGCGACCTTCCGGTGAAACCCGACGCAGACTCGGGTACGACAGCAGTATTCGGGGTTTCTAAAGAGTATGGATGGTTTATTGCTCAAGTTGACGTTCATTTTGAAGGGAATTGCCGAGATAATATGTTGGCAGTATTCGATACATGCTCCTTGCCATCAAGGCCAGCGTCTCGCATTGAATCTGAAGCATACGTTTCAGCGCTGGCCCTCGTACAAACTCGCGTAACAGAGGATCTTGGTGGCCTGGTCAAATACCTACTACATGACCTCAATAACTACTTCCAATCTGGCTAGCTGGGAACCCTTTCCCTCTGCCAAGCCGAAGACTAGAAGCTCGCTTTGCCGCCATTCTCGCCAAATCGACAGCCTCAGATACTGTGAATGACACCAATGTGTTCCGAGTAGGGGGAATGGAACAAAACTTTGAACAGTCGGACGAAGATTCCGACAGAGATTCAGACGTCGACTCGGAAGCAGATTATCCATACACCCAGATCTAAAAGTACCCCAAACCGAGTTCGCCATCATAAGGTTTTTAAAACATCCCCCTCAATCCATTGTAAGTACTGACATTATACATTATCGCATGTTAGACTGCCCATTCATACTTATTGTCTGTCTGTCTGTCCATGTATCGTAATCATTTCTTTAACACCGTTCGAAGACCTTGTAAAGGTCGGGCAGATTAGCTATTTGGATAACATCTCGATCAAGGGGGGATTTCGGCGCTACAGGGTACTGACGCATCGCTGGGAAGAGGGTGTGTTGGATTTGTCACCGTTCGCCTTTCAGTTGCTCAGCATGACTCTCAGATTGAGAGGGGTCTCGCAGCAAAGGAGGCAGCGGAGTGTAAAAGTAAGCCGATTCTCGAAGAAAAGACTCGAAACATTCTTTTTCCGATGTCCAGTCCACCTGGGCGAAGTCACTCATTCATGCTGTGTAGAAGGAAGGAAAGACGCAGATACCTGAGGTCCAAAACGCGTCGAGAAACTTGGAAGGTTGTCGATACGTAATCCCGTAGCAAGATGAGAGAGAAATATTCCGCCAGCACTGTCTCCCGAGTCATAAGGATGTCTTCGATTCGCTGCCGTCAAGTCAGAATGTACGTATTGTGGAACATATGGTGGGATAACGTACATCTATAATCTGAGTTTTGCTCAACGGGCTGTCCTCCGTAGAGTTTACAGCACTCAGGCTGACGGCAATTTCTACTTATCATGTAGCGAAGAATAGGTGGAGGCTTCAATTTGAGGCGACTAATTGGCGCACTCCAAGTTGATAAAAGAGTCCGGTTGTGTGTCACTTCGAGGAGCGGGGGCTAAGATAGATTTACGCTAGTGCAGCATGGTTAATGAGATACAGCTCAGTGGTCGAATCTAGATCAGGGAGAGGCGTCATTGAAGATCAGCAGTTCCAACAAAAGTATGTTCTTCGAGAATTTCGGTCAGTTCTGTGATATGCGGGTGATGAGGAGGTAGAATAAATAACTCACGATAGTAAACGAACGACTGTGTTTCCTTTTTACCGAAGCTTTTCTAAGATCTTGATCAGAGGCGAGGAAACATTCAGATTCCTTGAAGTCTCGAGACTTGAATGGAGAGCCTGAGTCTTGGGTATCTGAAGGATTCAAGTTGGCCAAAGATGTCTCCAATTGAGCCGGGTCAACAACGGGAAACATCGAATCCAGAGTTCTATCTTGAAGTGGCGTTCTGACTTTGTGTTGGACTTTGTGATGGGAATAGGTTCTCAATCCCAACTACAAAGAAGTCACTCGGCTTCGAGCTTTTTGATCGTTTTAGAACGCAACTAGACGACAAAGAAGCTAAGGCCTGGAGTTCGTCAAGGATCCATGTGATCAGCAAGACCGCCAGTCAGTAAGGTCTGAGAAGTTGTCAGAAAGATACAAGGCCGCAGACTCGGAAAGAAACGTACTTGCTACTCGAAAGCTCTTGACTCTCCTTGAGCAGCCACGGCTTGTTGGATTGCATACGATACACACTTGATGATGGCATCCTTGTTCAAAAAGTGCACTTCTCGCTTTGTTGGATGCACATTGACATATATAGCTCGAGGGTCGATATCCAAGCAGGAGCCTTGGTTGAACCCACAATCCGACCTGCAAATCTGACTTGCACAGACCTTAATTACACGAAAGGCGACGCGCCATTCGGTGAAATAGTGTGATAAACGGCTTCAATGGAGCGTTTCATTCTAGGAGAGTCCACCAAGGGATCTAGCAACACGTTGTCATACTTGTTAGAGTCCCAGAAGATGTCGACCTACGGTTGATAAATAGGAGAAAGATCATCTTCTTTGCCTGATAATTTGTGTTTGTGAAATGGCTTCAATCGGCACTCCAAGATTCAGATTCGTCGTTGTCTTCCTCGTAGTAGTCACCATTCATCTCGTCATCTTCCCTGTTGCCAGGGAGCTTTGGCTTTGGCTTGGCTTTGGACGAAACCTTCACGTTGATAAGCTCCTTCGCTATACTGTGACCATAAAGCAATCGGATCACATGGGCCGTCTCTGGATCTGACGGCGTAGAAAGATGAGACACTGCGGAACCGGCCTACAAGCCAACCTGTTACCTGTGAATCAGGTAGAAATAAAAGCAGATAAGAGAGTCACCTTTTTACAAAGGAAGGCAATTTTAGGGTTGTGGACAGAATATTTGGTGAGAACGTCAAGGCTGGTTCGGATGTACACGACGGCGTCCTTTATGTGCACGTGGACCTACGTGAAGTAAGTATGTACATAGGTAGGAAAGAGCTTGCAGATACTTACCACTGACGGAAAACGGCCTCGGCTGTGGACTGTAATAATCACACCCAAGCTCTTTCGATTTCACACCATCGTCTTCCCCAATGTCGTATCCTGACTTTCCAGTATCATCCACGTTCCACTTCATTATCCCAGACTTATGATCGCCCGTTTCGATCGCAATATCATCTGCGTTTTCAGTCGCCATCACATCCCTCTAATTCCCGCCAGTCCCTACCATAGTACCACTTTCCCTCACCTCGCTCCGTGTTGAAAATTCTGACGACACTCCTTTCTTCGGCTCCTCTGTCGAGGACAGCTCATTCGCAGGATTGATAAAAGTCGGAAAGGAGGAAGACACAGGCGAACTGCAGCGCTCGGTGTCTGGCGATGAAGATGATTCGCGGACGGGGGAGATGGCATATGTGGGGCGAGAATGATGGGCTTGATATCGACGGGCTTATAGGTTCAGGGTTCAGGCGTGAGGGCATGGTATGACATTCCACCATCTGATGAGTATCCCCCTTGCGTGAGATGGGGACGGTGTCAAGGCGTCATTGTCCATGTCTGCGTGTCGTAATCGCTTGAGGTGTTTGTTTGTTAAGTCGAACGACGGCCTTGACTTTAGATACGTAGAAGGAGGGGATGAATAGAACGAAGGGCAACCCTGTTTATCCCAAAAGCGCACCCTAGGAACAGGTACTTTTAGATGTTGTCTGAATAGGGTACAGCTACTTACCATTCTGCATGGTCGAGTCGCAGTGAAAATCATCAGTAGGGTGACAGAATTAAATTTCGACGTGGATGGCCGTTCCAACGGTAGGGAAGATGATGATGAGGCTATAGGCTGGGCGCCAATTCAAAGATCTAGAGGGAAAAGAACGGAGCAAAGCAAAGTGGCAGAAGATTATGATAGGCGATGCGAAGTGACAGATCAAATGTACATACGAATCGCCTTGGGCTTTAACACCGCCAGACTCGTCGCGAAAGAGAGCGCAAAAGCCACGCCTGCAATTGCAACGCGCCTGTTAGAAAGGCTCCAAAACTAGAAATCACTGTCTCCAGTCTGGGCTGAGACATCGTAATAAGGATCATGATGACTATTGCTGATTCAACGAACCAATGCAAAACCCTCTACGCATTGTGAATGGGTTCATCTTCCCGTTCGTGCCTGGTTTTACAAGTGGTTAGCGCAGCCCATCGGGAATTGTGGCGGAAGCAAACCAAGGCAGAAAACCCTTCGAAGAATTGTGCAGCCATACGAACCCCATAGCAGGGCGTCAATTATTGACTTGTGGAGGATACTTAACAGTGCGGCATACCGGTGAATAAGAGCACAAACCACACCACTTTGAGTGCAGATGGGAGCATGGCCTTGCGGGACAGGAATGAACCCCGGATATGAAGACCTCCTAGGTGGAGCCTTGACTCAGACCCGGGCCAGTAGACGAATGTAGAGAGTGAAGAGTATACCAAATGGCGGGGAACCAATACGTTTGCACTGCGGAGGAATTCAAGGGTAAAACCAAAAGTGGCCTCCCGAAATTCTGGGCTGTCCTATCCCCACTGGCAGCGCCGTCAAGTCGGCCTCTGTTCAAGTTGAATGGCTGTATTGGGCTAGAACTTGAATTATCCTTAGCTTACCACAGCAACGGGCGCCGACTCACGGTCTTCTGAGTCACGAGGCACCCGCCTTACAAAAATTTAACGTACCATTCTCTATCTTCTTTCCAATCGAGATCTATTCCAACTGAGACGTCTGTCCAGTGTCCACCCCCGCCACTGGCATTACTCGGGCTGGGCACTTGAGAATAACTTGGCATGATCGACTTGTTGAGCATCAGCTTAAGTATGTGTACAGTGACCCGATGTCCCCCACTACTTACTTATATCGAACAGCGTCAAAATGGTGCTTCCGTTGTCGACTTTGACTTGCATGGATGGTCATTTTTAATCTTAGCTCAACGTCCGCCATTTCGAATGTTGGATTATGGCAGAATATCATTTGTACAGAGCGAAGGGTATATACGACCTTAATTTCTCATTGTCCTAGCCCAGATGGTATCTTCTTTTAGGCCTAATACGAATTGGTCGATTTTCTTTGACCAGTAGTTAAGAGTGGTGTCTTTTTCATATGCTTGTTTTTCATAAGTTAAAGCCATGTCGTGCGGCACCACGAAAATGAGCCGCCAGTGATTGCCCGGAATCGAGGGGCGAAGGGCCGCAAGTGGGGTGTTGAGTTTCAGCCAAGATTGTATCTTCTCGAGACCAGCAACAGCCACAGTATGCGTCGGCCGGACAGTAACCTGGATGCCGGCAAGCCGTTGACCAGGATCGTAAACAATTGAATCTACGGCCGGAAAGTGTGGGTCAGTCGGTACCAAGTGTATTGGCTTGCTTTGTGCGACCGCACCCTGGAGCAGCTGAGCGACTGTAGATGATGTGAACAAAGAACGTCCGGTGGGACCCGGATACGTCCAAATCTCGGTTTTAGAGTCGGTGAGAGATCGGATGGTGAATTGGGTCTTTTCCTCGAGACCAGAGAGATACTTGAGGGCTTGCCTCTCGAACATTTGACCGCGGAGGGTTCCAGCATGAGGATCTGTCGAGATCAACTTATAGAAGTTGTAGGATGCCTCCTCTTGTTGTTCTTTGTGCTCATTGAACAAGGTATCCAGGGCCCATGGTGAGATGGCTCCCACCTTAGCCTGGGCAAACAAGCGCCAATTGTTTTTCGGTGATATGTCGAACACGGAGTGCGATATCATATTGTTTGTAAATGTCTCGATAAGTAATGATTGCTTATCCAAGTGTTCCCGGGCGAAGGTGACAATTTTTGTACGAACGACCGCCAGGTTTTCAGTAAAAATTTGAGGGGAACGGGACGCGCGGAAGCAAATTCGGGGGTTGTAACCGAAATAGGTCGTAGTTTCTTGGAGCCGTGGGTAGAGGAGGTCGTGAGAATTGAGAAACAATCTAAAAGCTATAAGTGCAGTTCGCAGATTTATAAAGCTGTCAACATACCCAGTCAAAATCAGCTCCTGTTGCGACCATAACGTCGATATAAGCTTGCGTATATACGGGGAGTCCCCCACCGTATCCAACCATTTTTCGCCCGCACCGCCAGGTGACGAGGCAGCGATTATTTGAATCTTTTTGCTTTCAGTGAGAAATCGGGGTGGTTCGCTTTTCCCATCAAGGTCGCAGAAGGCAATGATGGGTCCACCTGACCATTCGTCAACTACTGTGATAGATTCAGCGACGTGATAGACAGATCCACCGATCGTGCGGAATAGGCATCCAATGCCTGAAACAATGGATTGGATTAAACGGAAATAAAGGTAGAGGGTTTTGCCTGGACTACGTGAGATGCAGCATGAGAAACAAGGAAATAGCTCACCGATCCCTGGTTGCCCAGCAATCATTGCGGAGTTGCCACCGTTTATCGGTAAGTTATCCAATATTCTAGATAGGTCCTCGTATTCTTGCCGGATAAAAAGCAGTGATGGCATTTGCGGTGGCGGCTTCTTGAGTCCCAAGCTGTGCAAGTCAAGATAATTTAGCGTCGCGGAGAAGAGCGAGCGGAGCTCGTCATCATTATCATCTTCGTTCTCCTTAGCAACAACGTTACGGCCAGTGTTGATTGAAGCGAGGAAGTCACGTTTGACAGATAAAGCCCCCTCGAACGCCGCCTCATATCGTCCCTCTTGACGTTCCGGGAAAAGTTCTGACAGCTGCTTTTCCAAAAGGCCATAATCTGGGTATGTTAGACGGACTGTCCGAAACACCTGGCTCCTGAGATCTTGACGATTCCAGAGCTTTTGATGAAGATGGAAAATCCACTCATCATCTTTAGGTGAGTAGTAAAAGCCTAATCGAGGATAGCGTGGTAGAGGTCAAACCTCAGTTGACATGGAAAAACATCGTGACCCACCTTTGAGCTCCTGCTTCGGGTCTGGACCCGCTAAACGAGCTCTTTTGTACGGCGGTTGACCTACAATAGGTAATGGCAAAAGTAAGGTTCGTGGCTCAATGACCATGGCTCAGGAACACCTACCATTACCGTCATCTTTCAGTTGAAAGAAAGGAGGTGGATATCGATCAATATGCATATAGGCGGCGGCAGCTCATGGATACGCACCCACTGGAAATTTCACGATAATATGAAGCCTGTCAACGCTGACTGCTTCTGATTTCGGAAAGAGATCCCGTAAGCCAGCAGCGGATTTCGTTAAGGGTGCGGCGAAGTTTTCGATATCTTTTTCGACGCGTTCTTGAAGGGTGTCTTCCAGAGCGATGGGAGTTAACTTGCGGGGCTATCATCAGTTTGATCAGCTACGTGATTTTACATTGATACCAAACTCACTCACTTTATACAATAAGGGTTTGTTCAAGGTATCATATCCCGGAATTTCTCTTCTGATTGACTGCTTGAGTTCAGAGACCGTATCGTCATCCCGCAATGTCAGGCGAAATAAGGGCTCATCGACGGATTCGCCTAGAACGATACACCATAGTCTTAGTTCGTTGTTCATCTGAGATGGGCTGTTGACAGTGGGCTGCCAGGTAGTGAAGAATTGCGTGACGTCACGCATTTCTCGAGTTATTATTAAAAAGCTCCTAAGACGACCACAACGCAATTACAAGCTTCTTCACAAACGAGGTGAGGTCATCCTTTCAGCCCATTTTTCATATGTGCCAGCTAGCGAAGACGTAGTGATGGTCTGCATGTTCCGATTGCGAATCGTGGTTGAGTCGTGATCGAGTCAAGATCATAGAACGCAGCTATAAAGCCGCCCGTTCAATCATCGACCCTCGTAAGATATTCAGCAACCAGATAAAGACGCCGTCCCTAGTCTGGAATAAACATGGTGTGCTCGTGATCATGCACTGAACTAAACGAAGGTAGAGGTACGCAGTCTTGCTTGTGCCCAAGTGAGATCCAAATAGGCAGACCAGTCCCACCTATACCTGGCTGTCCAGTGATCATCATCTCAGAATTGTGGTCGGAAGAGGTTGTTGTAATCCTGGCGGTCGGGGAACCCGTAGTTCTAGACTGGATAAATCCAAATACTCAAACGTGGATGGGAAGAGGGAGCGACGGTCTTCATCGACATTGCCTATTTCCTTGTCATCGGGGTTAGTGAGATATCCAAGGCCAGACTCCTCGGGATGGCTCGGAGCACAGCTGGTTTTGCAGAAAGACTTCATTGTTCTTTCCTGACGATCCGAGCAAGACTCGCCTGAAATACCGCAATTGTAATCCGACGGTGTGGAGGGGTTTGTGATGTAGGTCTTTCCGATTCCAAATCTTTTCGTGAAGTTCAGCAGTCAGTCAGCAACCTTATTCCATTGTTGTAACAGATGGATAGGGATAGATGGGAAGAGTGCTTGAGAGAGTGCCCCATGCTGTCGTTGTGAAAGTTATTGGAGACATGTGACACGTGATGAGGCGGTGCATATCTCTCCCCCATCACTGATCAGCGTATGCATTAATATTGTGTCAATTTGCATAGTCCTATAAGTTATTTTGTTTTAGAATTGCTGAACCTTTCTTTTGAATTCAGCTATGTGCCCGGAGCAATCCTCCAAACCCTCGTATATCCATCGTCGCCCGCAGTCGCTAGTACATCCTCGTATCCCTCTCTTGAACACCAAACCACCGTGTTCGCATCGTGCACCCCATGTGCAGATGGAAGGTGAGCGATAAGTTTGTACCCGGGAGGCGACGAAACCATAACCTCCTCACCGTCTGGCTCCTGAACTTATAACATCACTATCCCATTCACGTTTAAACAAAAACGAAAACGTACGAAGAGTTCCCAAACACGTACGAACCCATCACCGCCCGCACTACCCAACCACCCCAAACTCCCTTTCCCGGTTCCCTTCCCCTTCCCCCAGCTCACCGAATAAACAGCCCTCTCATGACCTGTAAGAGTAAGCACCCCAACCCACTTATGCTGCGCCACCCTCTTCCACACGCGGACCGTCTTATCATCGGACGCCGACGCAAAGTAATCGCCTGTGGGTGACCATGCGATTGACCAGACTGTGGAAGTGTGTCCGGTGAGTGTGGAGAAGCAGTACCAGTCGTCTGAAGGATCGTCTATGTAGAGCTTGATGGTATCGTCGTATGAACCTGAGGCGAGTATCTACGCTGAGTATGGGTGAGATTGCGTAGAAAATGGAGAGGGATCATGTTGACCTCTTCTGATGGATGCCATGCGACGCATTTGACGTCTTGGGTGTGTTCCATTAGGACACCCATGCATTCAAAATCGGCGTCAGGGTGAACTGTCAAAAGGCGTCAGATTGCCTGTACTGATGAGGGGGAGAGATACAAACCCTCCCATATCCAAACCGTCTTATCACGACTACAACTCGCAAGCAACGTTCCAGTTGACGAGTACGCCACGGATTTACACTCCGTCTCGTGGCCCTCCAATGTACTCGCGCATTCCCACTCACCCTCCCCATCGTCGTTCTCCTCCCGCTCCCAGATCCCGATATTTGAGTCAAACGAAGCCGTAGCGAGTGTGTTCCCAGACGGAGACCACGCAACCGCTCTGACGGTCTTCATATGACCCGTCGGTATAGTCGCGACGTTATCGAACTTTAGGCCCGCGTCGCTGGATGTGTAGTGGTACAATCGCACGGATTTGTCGGCTGAACATGATGCCAGGAGAGGTTTTGTCGGGTTCCATGCGAGATGCCAAGCGCGATCGTCGTGTCCTTTGGCACTAACGATGAGCGATGAAATAAATACGAGTTTATGGAAATACCTGGCAGCTCAGCGACTTGCTGTATTTGATGTGAGAGGTCGATATCCATGAAGAATCTCTTCACAAACAATTCCAAATACGTGGTCCTCGTCCTACCAGCATGTTCGCAGACCGCAAGTCGTCGTACAAGCTCCCACCAACGACGATAAGAGACCAGCTCGTATCTCAGGAAGCACGCAGGGCCAAGGTAGTTACATTCGATCTACACAAATTCATTTACACTGACTTATTTGTTAGGCACTGGAAGAACAGAAACGCGTCCGTCCCAGTGAGATTCTCAAAGGACACTTTTGACTCAGCGTTCTTCTATGCTCTAGCGACGCGCGCAGAGAATAGACTCTTCAAGACAACTTGATCTATTCGCTGATCTCAACCTCGGTGGCTCCGATGAAGACGAAGACGAAGATGAACCCATTTCTCTATTGACCCCTGCATGCGTAGCGCCCTACGCGTCGATGATCGAGCCTTCTTTTCCCGTGAATGCAATAACTGCCCCTCAACCTCGAGAAGTGGTTATCCAAGTCGCCGCCCCCGCCGAACCCAAAAAGAAGCCGAGGAAGAAGAACAAGAAACGGAATAAACCGAGTAAATGGGCAGACCAGTGCATGTATGCGGAGCTGCTCGAGATGTCGCCCGAAGATCCGTGGTCTTCGACTACAGACGACTTGAACGACTCGCTCCCGCACGACCTCGAGACAGGTTGGGTGGCGGTTGCTCCTGTACCAGTTGGTAAACGTTGTCTTGCAGTTACACACCAGTCATCTGGTGTTGCAGGTGTCGGTTCGTCGTCATTCTTACCTTTGTCACTTGACTTGATGAGCACTCTTTTTTTTTCCAGTGCCCAACACAACTCTGCGCTCTCGTCTCCTCGGAAAAACCCTCATCGCTCGCTTCCCATCATCCCTTCCCCCGCTAACAGTGCTGGATTGCATCCTCGATTCAAACTGGCGAGATAACGGCATCCTACACATCCTCGACGTCGTCAAGTGGAAAGGGCAGGACGTCGCCGATTGCGAGGCCCCATTCCGGTGAGACCCCTCCCTGCACTCACAACTCTAAGAACTCATCGGCGTGAAGGTTCTGGTGGAGGGACACACGCCTAGCCGAACTCTCACAAACCTATCCGCCCTCAATCACCTTCTCACATACGGAAACACGACCTCGATACCAATTCCCATACCCAACCAACTTAATCCCCATACCCTACCACACAAACACCTCCTTATCCTCTCTAGACATATCAGTCATCCCAATGGCACGCACAATACGCACCATCCCCGTGGACGTTCCAATCCTCCTCCCAAACCCGCCATTGCAAGATGTAAGTGGCAATGGGATGCAAGTCGAGTCCGCAACAACTCCCTCATTCCGCGCAAAAGGATCAATAGAGTCGGTCTCTACGAATGTACAGCCAGATGGACTGCTCCTTTACGTATCCGAGGCTAGCTACGAGCCTGGTACCAGTCCTTTGAGTAGCTGGATACCTATCACGGGGTACGAGAAACCTGATGAACCTATTGGGATTCATCCACTTGAGTTGTTTCATAGGCAAGTCTGCTAGTTCTTTGTCTTCAAGATCATCTCTAAACCACGGAATTTTAATGTAGGTTGGTGAAACGACGGCTTCAGGGACAGCCAGTTGGAGATGGACAGGGGGAGGGTTCTATGGATATGGACATGTAACAGTGCTTGTTTGTGTACGAAAGTAATTACAGAACTTGTTGACTATGTCAAAGCCCAAACAAGCGGACAGAGCCTGTCTGACAAGGTGACTCTGCGACGAATTATTTTCGCCGAAATATCAATGCATCGAATATCGTCCCTAACAACGACAGTGAGAACTCGGTGAAGGCTTATGCGTAATGACTCACACGTAGAACTCTCCCTTTCACCTGCAAAAATGGCACAAAGAGCAGAAACAAGCCAGCGACAATCCTTCACGCAAAATCAGCCAGTTCCTCCAGTGGCCGTAAGTAGTATAAGCAACTTACGCAGCTTCAACACCAAACACTTGTATAGCACCATGTTTGAGGGACCAAGGAATTTGAAAGTACGCCACGCTGAAACCTGCAACACATGATTCCCAACTAAAACTAACAAGGCAAACGACGTCAATTTACTTACCTCCAAGAATTCGCGCCAGATTGATCAAAGCACTGACTTCTCCCTATCATATCCCGCATCTTCAGAATCTATTCAAAAGACAGGCAGGAATTGGCATACATACCTGATGTTTCGGGAACACGTCACTACAATACGCATAAACCGCAACCGTATTGATCATGATCGAAAGTTCCGCAATACCCCATCCAAACACCAAAGCGACGGTGCCCAGGTGGTTTTGGAAGGACGCGCCTAGTAGGACAAAGCCGCAGATGTACAGGGGGATGGCTATATAGCATGCCCTGTAACAGAGGAGATGACTGAATAATTTGAACCCATACGATTGGTTAAGGAAGCGTACCATAACCGACTTTCAGCCTCATAAACACCGTTATTCCGTCTAACACAAACGTTCATTATCCAATCGTTCATGTATCTCCCTATCAATTCTCCAAGTATGGCGGATACCTAAGTATTCGAAACAAGGACGTGAGGATTCGGAGGAAAGGAAGGAAAGGACCTACGATTGGCGTGCCGTAACTTCCCGCAATGGCGAATTGACTGAACCCATATCCGAGTGGAGGTGGAGACCCGAGGAAGATTATGTTGGTCACCTAAGTATATGATAGCTGTAAGCAAGTGGCCCAAACGCAGAAGGCGGAGAAATTCACGTTGATGCCAATTCCAAAGCCGAACAACATGGCCTGTGAGAGGCATCAGATGTCCAGCATATAGGACGTAGATATGGCATGAACTCACCTCGAAGATGAGAATCATCAACAAATGTGGCCTCCACACCACGTTGAGAGGGGTGAGGATCGACTCTGCCCACGACGCGCGATATTTTGACATCCTTGCGCCTGTCAGACCAATGAGAGTCTCGATTCTATTTCTCAGTCCCCCAGTAGGGGCCTCAGGGATGGGTTTGACGGTTCGATCGTACATCCTAGGTTCATGAATAAGTAGGGCAACGAAAAGGGGGAGTGGAGACGTACGTCTCTTCCATAAAGAAGATGATGAGGAGAACGACAATCAGGGAATACAAACACCCGATACCATACGCCCATCTCCAGGTCGTTCTTGCGACAAGAAAGCCAAATGCGAATGGAGACAAGAACGGTGAGACTATGAAGCCCATAGTCCATATGCTAAGCTAGACAAATATTAGTTCGACTGTTCAAAATCGAGGGGGAGATATCCACCTTTCGAGCCTGCAGATGAAAAGGATACATATCGGTGACGACGTAAAGACCCTGTATACTTGATGTATGAGCGTGCAATTCTGCGGCTTTGATGATGTGGGCGCTTACCGTGACTTGTGGTGCAGTTCTGGAAGGATAGGACGAGACCCATGAAAACGATGACGTGCACGCGAGAGAAAATACTTACGCAAAGAATGCAGTCACACACCGCATGGCTAAAATGACAATGAACGTCAGCGGTGGCTAGAGTAACAAGAAAGGAAGCTCTGTGCTTACCAGCAAAGGTTTTGAGATTGGGGGCAACGGCACATCCCACGAGGAAAGCCAAGGCGAGAAGCTGACCAGAGATTTGAGGTAAGGGGTCGCAAGCGAGAGATAAAAACTCACTTGAGACCAGAATAAGATTGAAAGGCGACCCAGTCGTCTGATCAACATGACAGCAAGCAATCCTCCCCACCCTGGAAATCATAGTCAGTTGCTGAAGGCAATTGAAAGTCCACGCAAGGACCGTGCCTAATAGAAATATACTCCAGCTATGCTCCATGATTAGCGGTCAAGCTCACAGGGTCAGTATTCTGCACCTACTTTGTCGTCAAGTTATTGATGACACCGACACTAGTGTCATACTGCCTCGCAAGGCTAAAAAGGCCCGCAGTACCTATCGTCAAAAAGTTAGGACCAATGCATAGTACATGACGACGCACACAACTCACCAATTGCAGACTCAAAGTCGGGAACGACAGACGCCAAAGTGATGATGATCAGCTGCAAGTTCTTTCGACGCGTGCTCCAGTTCTGCGGATCACGAGGAGAGTCCGTTGGTTGAGGCCAGAGAACCTTCGTTCCATCTTCTGATAATTTGAGTTTCGCTGCAACAACCTCGCCGAGCTCTATCTTCGCCTCTCTATAGACGAACAACACGATGAATTCATGAAACCAACGGAGAAGGTAGAACCCACGCAGGATCAATGATCAAACGGCCTGCCTGTTGCTCGTGAAATGTTAGGAGGTCAATTTCAGACTTGTCCTCTTCCTTGATGCCGTTCGCCACTTTTCCAGCCATGACTGGTAAGTAAGGAAGGTTAGAATGGAACCCGAATATCGCGTCCCGTGTTCTGTGATCCCATGGTTGTAAAAATCGCCGAAAGGGCGCCCGGCCATTCGGAAGAATCAAGAAGTTGTCCAGACAATCCTGATGAAAGGGTGCGAAGAGGGCCGCATCCAAAGTCGGTTTGGGCAAGAAGCCTGATCAATATGTAAACAACATCAAACAACTTGGACGCGTCCAAAAAATTCGGAATCTCGTCTGACACGTGCTCTGGAATGTTTGCTCTTCGTCGACTCTCCTGCAGAGCTCCTAGGGCCTTGACAGCCGTCCCAGTGAGGTACAATGCCGACCTAACTGTTGCCACCGACTCTCCCGTTGCCCAACCGCCTCCACCACCACCACCTCCCGCTGCAGTAGCCTCTGAATTTGCTGAGGACCTTGGGGAAAACACAGGCACTCGAGGACGAAGGCGCCGCAAACGCATCCCAACGAAACGACCAGCCATATCCACCGAATCACCCAGAAAATGGAACCGTCCCCTTGCAGAGGGTGTACTACCCGCATACGACATGGCACTCAAAGTGATTAAAACGGACAGCTTTAGGCTGAAGGAGGAGGCCAAGGAGCTGAGGACTCGAATTGGGCTCGCTGAGAATACTTTCCAAGAGCTCAGTGCAAAAGCGAAAGAGCTATCGGAAGACTCTCAAGAGAGACAGACCTTGACCGAGGAGGTCAATTTATTGGATGAGCAGTTGGAGGCGATGAGGGTCAAGTTGAACATTCTCGAGGTGCAGAGTGAGATTAACCTCCCGGATGTTAGGTGGAGGGTTGCGAATTCCATGGGTCAGTTTCCTTTTTATTTTCCCTCTTTCGGAACGATTATAATTTCTTTTTAATGTAGTAAACACGAAGAAACCTATTCATAGACATCTCGTTGAACAAAAATGGAGGAAAGATGGCGCGTTGGACCTGCTGGTGCGTTCACACTCTATTCAACTTCCTATTCAATGACTAAACAAACCCGTACAGATGGAACGTATCTACCAAATGGGGGTCGTTCCCGACGTCCTACCAGAGATTCGCCCTTCCTTGGATCTGCGCGTTGTCGCAAAGACCCGCGCTGCCGAGTTTCTCAACGCGGGAAAGGTGCAAAAGGAGGTTGAGCCTGGAGTTTATCTCCTGCCCAAACAGGTTTGTAGTCTGTTTCTCCCTGAATACTGCGCTCCCTCACTAATATATTGGTAGACCCTCGAACCGCCAAAGCTTTACGTGAATGTCTTCCACGAGGATACGAGGCTCTACACCATGCTTCTTGTTGATCCTGGTATGTTCTTATTTTTGTACCACACACCTCGTTTAACAACTGGTAATCACAGACGTCCCGGACGTGCACAACGAGTCATTCACAACCTTCCTTCATTGGATGAAGTACATCTCCTCCCTCCTCACTAAAACCGTTTTACTGATCATATTCCACACCTAGGCCAAACATTCCCCTTTCATGCGAACACACCCAACGCATCCTCGACCTAAACACACACACAAAATACATCCCACCTCACCCCCAACAAGGGACCCCCTATCACCGCTACGTCCTTCTTCTTCTCCCACAACCCCCTCTGGGAGGAGCAGCAGAGTACACCATGAATACCATAGCACGCGCCCAGCCTGGCGTGCCCACCTCCGAACATCTGGACATCCCTATTATCCCCGAGGAGGAACGCCTCGGATTCAACGTTAGGGAATTCACAAGACACTGGGGTCTCGATGCAAGGAAGGGAGGCGGCGCACATATGTGGCGAGAGATTTGGAACGAGGACGTTTCGACGATTTATAAGGATATCTTACGTGAGTCCCGCCGGGTGTATTTGTGTTTAACCCCCGCTCATTGTTTTGCATTTGTTCAGAGAGGGAGGAACCGAGGTATGGACGACCTCCCAAGGTCGATCCCTACGCGGATGTCAAGAGGTCGAGAAAGTATATTTCTTAGATTGCTATACACGCTTTTTACGCATGCATGCAATTCAACCCGTAAATTTATTTGGTCAACAAAAAGCACGATATCCTAGAAGAAAACATCACAACTACGCAACAGGCCTCACCAATAAAGCAGATTTCACGCCGCCGACGTGAGTTCGGCTGAATGTTTGCCAAGGACTGGATTTCGGATGTCCTGATGCAGGAGTATCAGCGCACGCGATTCCAGAGAGGGTAAGCTTCGGGCAGGGAATGAAAGTGTCGTACATGTTCTCGAAAGTGAGGCCTGGAATATTGCAAACCAAACTGCGCTGACGGGTCACCAATAACCACATAGAATCTCAAATTGTAACCTATTGTAATTGAATGGTTTCAGGGGTTCGTCCTTGATCCAACCTTGATCATAAAGGACAGAGGATAGTTCAATGCAAGTTCAATGTAGTCGGCGTCCCGGTTACATAAATCCTTCGCAATTCCTGGAGAGACACTACCACGTCACGTGCAAGTTGTAACTCCTTTCCGAGTCAGAAATGTCTCAGGAAGTCGCATATTCGATTTAAGGGACTGAATGTTAAATTCAGTAAATTGCGCCCATCAGCGGATTCCGTTTTTCGTGAGAAATCATTTCTTCCAAAGCCCTTCTACCCTGACTTCCACCCCTTTCATCTCGCCTGCATCTCTCTCGACCCCCTTGCAACCCCCTCTTTGTTGTGGCCAACCCAGGCGACGCACTCGGCACTAGGCCACGCGACACGCTCAACAGTACCCCACGTACTCAACACTATGCCACGCGCTCAACTTGAACACTACGCCACGCACTCAACACTACGCAACGCGCTCGACATTACGTGACACGCTCGACATTACGCGACGCGCTCAACACTATGCGATGCCGCGTGATATTTAGGACTCAATGCTCATGTGTGCCCCCCTCGAAGATCTCGTCAATCTTGGGAAATGGAAGGCTAGGTTTAGTTTTGAAACTTCTTTTTTGCCTCATAATATACATCTCATGTAAATATAATTACCTGCAATATCATGGGAATTACATGAATTTAAGGCCTAAATGACAGAACACAAACATTCAGCCAATGTGATATAGCAGAGGGTTAGGTCCCTGAGCCGAAAGACCCTTAAATCGGGTGCAGGGATAGGCCAGCTCATGGAAATACACCTTAAATTGAGCTGGTTGGCATCACGGGGTGTTAAATCCACTAAATTGAACTTGATTTAAGCTAAATCCATCCCACATAAGCACTTATGCCGACTTATGTATGCTTTTCTGACTTATTTTCAGTCTCTTGCAGCAAACCACCTTCCAAATATCTCTTTGAAGAGCAAAAAAAGGGGTGAACATGCAGTGGCAGGTCCACCAAAGAAACTCTGAAAGTTTTGTATATTTCCCAAGAATTTGGCAGCACCCAGGCCCCAATCAAGGATGTGATGTGAGGTCCATTTTGGACAAGGGCAGCATATTTGCCCAGGGAAAGTCAGTACTGGGAATTTTTTTGCATTTTCGGGTATAATAAATACAAAATGGTTGACCACAAGCGAAATTTTGGGAGGGGACGAATCAGTGGGACGAAGCGGCGGGGGAGGACGAGAAGAGGGAGGAGGACGCGACGCGCCAGGTCACGTGGTCACGTGCACCTTCCCCTTTTGGTTGCGATCCGGGAGATCCTGTTAAATCGGCCCACATAAGTATAGTTATTTGCTTGAATTTATGGTGTGAATTATAAATTGTGTATAAGTGCTAATATGAAGGGGACAGGAGCATGGACAGTCAGTGAGTTGGGCTAATTGAAAATCAATACAGAAAGCTAAGACTGTGAAATCATGTATCTAAAGATACTTAATGCTTCAACCCACACAAGCTGTCTAATCTCCATGTTCCTAGAGTGAACGTTGACTCTCAATGCCAGCATCTCATCGAGAAGATGGATTTGCTCCATCAATAAGGGGCAATCAGGTGGCTCACAAGGGACATGAGAGAGTGTAGGAGGCTGTGATGAAGAGAAAGGGAAAGGATTCTCTTCATCCCAGTCCTGGAGATTTTCTGTCAATAGATGGTTCATCAACTCTGGGTCATCGGCAACCTCCCAATCAATGCCATACAGTGCTGGATCTTCAACTTGTTCATCAGGTGGTTCTTGGATATACTGCAGACCACAAGGACCATCTTGGACCATGCTGAAAAGAAATATGTTGCGTGGACTGTGCTCGCGCTCCCCACGTATTTGGAGTTTATGGGAATTCCAAGCTTCAACCCACTCATCTGAGTCAGCCTGTATTTCATGAAGAAAGAGGTGGTGCAGTAGCCAAATGTCGGTACGACATCGCGGATTGAGTCCATGGTGAACCTCAAGCTCAAGGAAGAAATTCTTCCATTTCTGGCCAAAGCCGTGGGTGACATCATACCAGAGACACTCAATCCTTGTATTGTGGACACTCCTGATGTTTTTTAATCAGATTGAAATCAACTTTGCCATTCCAGCAGAGACTCTGCTGACCTGCCCCAGATATATGATCCTTGTCCAGGACCACAATGATCCTCCATCCACTGAGCAACCAACAAGTTCTCAGTGTCATGATCACCATGCATGCAACTTGGACATCCATGTTTTTCGATTGCCTTGAGAAAGATTTGGAGGACAGTCTCTGCTCGATTGTTGTCGCTGATGCCATTCCCAGTGATGAACCACCCTTTTCCATCAGTAAAAGTGTGGTTGACTATACCAAACCGAATGAGGCCTGTTTTCAACAATAGATATTAGAAGTGGCACAAGCTAAGACATTCATGAAACACACCATGCTGACCATCATGATGCCAGAGTGAATTGGTGCCAGCGACTTTGTACACTTTATGATGGATGCTGCAATCACCAAAGCTTCCAGGGGAACCATAGACATGCAAATAAGAAGCAATTATATGCTCTTGTGTTACGCGATGCCCACTAGCAGCTAGCCGCCCAGCAATCATACATCGGCCAAAGGCAGGAAATATTTCCAGAATATTTGTGATTAATGCATCAAGCTGAGCATCTGTGATGTCACTGGATGATTTGTGGTTGGATTGTGTACGGACAGATGTTATTTGTCCATCTGGAAGGGTATGAGATATGAAAACTGGCTCTCCAGGTGAAACAAGGCCCTGTTCAAGTGCCCTCCAACAGATTGTACATGCATTGCATCCAAGAAATGGCTGAAGGCCTGATGGTCCACAAAGATTCAGGGCCTCCTGAAGAAAGATAGAGTCAATCTCAACACGAGGTCATCCTCACCTGCCATTGCTCGAGCGAGTAGAAACAACAAGAGAGGCTCCCTCCTGAGGATCAGAAGATTGATGACACACTTGATCAAGTGCTGCAGCCATCACATGGATGCTCTGTTGTAGAGTTGCATACTCTGCACTTGGAAAGTGATGCTGGTGCTGTTAATGTACTTAGAAACTTTAAAACCATCAAAGCTTTGCAAGCTCACTGGCTCAGCTGCCTGAAGCAGATGAAGGGCATCTGTCCACTGCTTGGAAAGCCTGGCAGCATCTCCAAGTTGGGTTCTTAGAGCAGTTCTCACCCAGTCACTCAGGACAAGATAAGCAGCTCTGATGTTTTTCAACTGCTCAGACTCAACCTCAGACATGAAGTAGAGTGATGTGTTTAGAAATTCAAGTTTGCGCAATGTTGAAGAGCAGTGGTCACTAGAATAGCAAGCCAGAAAGATCCAGACTGTACATCAATGCCTTGGCCCAATAAACAATTGAAAACAAGATGTCAAGATTCTTCAAGATCTTTACAAATGTAGATAATTTGTTATCCTAATTTCTGTAATATTCTCAAAGATTCTTGAGGATTATAGACGACATTAAACAGCAAAAAGCAAAGATTGTTGAAGATCTTCCATTGAAATTATACCAAGGGAAGGAAGAATCTTGAAGATCTTATCAAAGCAAACAACTGACAACAAACAGATGAAAGGTAAAAAATTTGAAATCTTTGACGATCTTCAAAGATCTTCAAAGATCTTTGAAGATCTCTGCCTCATATTTTCATATGGTTAATTTCTTCAAAGATTTTGCAAGATCTTTGACAATAGTTGAAGATTTATTGAGAAGATTGGGTCTATGCATAAAAAAAGTTATTTTTGTCCACAGCTAACTGTCAAACTAGATTGCTATACACGCTACGCGTGGATGCAATTCAACTCGTAATTTTATTTAGTCAACGAACAAGACGATATCCTAGAAAAAACATCAACTGCGCAACAGGCCTCACCAATAAAGATACTATCATTATAAAGGACTTCGGCCAACGTTCGTCTCGCTTGCTCTGAATTTTCTAAAGTTGATTTAACGTCGTCGACATGGACACATTGACAAAACGTTCAGAGTTCGGCTGAATGTTTGCCAAGGAATGGACTTTGGATGTCCTACTTGGATATCACCCATGTCTGTTAACCTACTGGAATCGAATACCATCAGGTACTTGGGGTATCGCGAATACGACCTTTCGGATAGAGTTGTGGCATAGAGTCAAAAGGTTGGTTTGCTTCTTCGCGCCGAAGGTGAGAGGGCCATGCTGATGCAAGAGTTACCAGCGAGAAAACAGAGTACAGAGGATAGGCATGTAGTCGGTGTCTCGATGATGATCCTTCGCAGTTCCTGGTATATGCTTGCGTTTAAATCTCGGTACGCATCCTGATGTTCCCGTCGCAGACACTGACATCATGTAATTCAAGAATCAAGAGGGCGTTTTCTGATATAGTCTTTTGTATAGGCAGCCTGCATCAGGAGGCACTGACTTGGGTCAGTAGCTACAAATACCCTCAGTATCCTGAATACCTGGGTACACAAGTCCCCTAGTGCATAGTTCCCGTAGTCATCCTATCAATCTCAGTAGCATCGGTAGTTCCCTGAACATGGTAGGTAGCTCTGGATTGTGTCCGTTGCTCTGTGTCTACTGTAGCTACCAGGTGAACCAGGGCTCTGTAGTCAAGTCTAATTTTATGTTGCTTGCATTGTTTCTGATCTACGAAGGCTACTGGTTCACGGTAGTTAAGTCCTCGGATAGGAGCTGGTCATTTTTTTGAATCAAAATGACAATAGTGATCCAGAAGCATCAGATAGATTTTATGGACATCTGAGTATTACGAGGCAGTATATACACACAGCTACCTAACCATAAGCGGACGGAAGCATATAACATATCTAAACATCCGAAACTTCACTATCCGTCTCACCGGTTCGACCGTCGAGCTCCATCTGTACACGGTCCTTGATAGCATCTTGAAGGCAAGAGGGTATCTTCAAGCTGGCGTCAAACACACCTGCACTGCGACTGAATGCCAATTGATTAGTATGGATGGTCGTCGCATGAATGAAGAGACTGACAGTGCACGGTTGAATAGCTTCTTGCGGATATTTTCAATGACAGAAGGGTTGATAGCATTCCACGCCTCAAGCTCGAGGCGATACACTTTATGGGTGGCGAGAACGACCTTTTCGTAGAATTTTGATTGGATAAAAACCCCCGTAGACCACTCGCGTAAACAGAAATCAATCTAGAGTATCATGTCAGTCAAGATCCGAATGAGACAAGTTGACAAAGTGTGTACCACGGTGAAGATAAGTGCAAGTGTTTCAAGTGGGATAGGGTTAAAGTAATGCTGGAGGAGTGGCCCTTGAGACGTCTTGTCTTCAAACCATGCGAGGTATAAGATCTCAGAGATAATCTTGTTCTGACTAAACCCAGTGAGAGTGCCGGTATCCTGAAAGGATATTGCCAGTGATTAGATAGAAATTAGAGCGGTGGGTGAAGTAAATAAAACCTTGTGATGAAACGCCCCGTTTTCCAAAAGCGCCTCACATGATTGCTTGTTGCGGGCTTTGGTTTGTGGAGTGACTTTGCGACTGAACCCGTAGATTGCGATGATTTGTGGTCGAACAACTGCCAGGACATGGCCGCGAATGCGCGAGCCACGCCTCTTGATCTTTTATATAATAGTTTTGTCAGGGCGCAATGGGACAGACATAAAAAAGAGCTCACGAGGTTGCACATTCTATCTGATAGGTCGTAGAACTCATCTGCGTCCTTGGATGCCATCTTCCAGCAGCGCAAAGCCCATTGGCGACGTAGATCAGAACTTGGGAAAGCATCGTGGGTTGAAACTAAACCTTCATAGTCGAACATAGTTCGCACAAGAATGGCGTTCACGACATCGTTATAGTCAGATGCTTTCGCACGGCTACTGCTCATAACACCGTCAAGGAGTTCAGCAGCGGGGAAAGATTCCTTTCTCCGTACCTGGGTGGAGGGAGGTGGCAAGGAGCGCTGGGTGGATGGTGGTGGCAACGAAGAGCGCTGGGATTGACTATCCGAGAATGCCACCGCATCGCCTGCATATCCAGGGCTTGATGGGGAGGTATGACGAGACGGGGAGCTTCGGGCAAGGCTTTCGTGATCGACAGGCTCGGGTGAAGCAGACACCGGCTTGTGGGGTACCTTGAGAAATGTACGATTGGAGAGGTGTGAGGTTGGGATTGATAGAGCTGCTCGTTCCTGGGTAATATTGGAGCGGCGCAGTTGGGTAGTTGGTTTGGAGGATATGGCCACAGCGGCGAGTTGGGTAATCTGGTCACAGAAGTTGTCAACATAAGGCGCCTCAAGACTCAGATAAATAGAAATGGTGATACCGAAGTATGAAAGCCTCGAAAATCTCTGGCGTCCAAAGGCTCCTCACTTTCATACTCCTCGTCATCACTAGGCTGCGAAGCTAGAAGGGAAAAAACGTTACTGAGTGAAAAAAGAAGGCATTGAATCGACATACATTTGGTCTTTTTCGCAACTTGTCTTGCCTTTGCGAGCTTTTTTTCAAGGTCTTGAACCTTCTTTGCATTGGCGTTAACGGTGTTTGTATCTGAAAATGAAAGAGTTATAGCATATAACGGCAAAAATATGCAAAGGAAGCTTACCCAGCACAGTTTGTTTATTGCTGGCTACTCGTTTGCGTGGGACGCGCACCTCGGAATCTGCTGCCGAAGCCTTGTGTTTCTTCAATGGAGGAGCTTCTGACCCTTGACTGTCCTCGTCTTCTGAAGGAGCCGCCTTGCGAGGGGGCATGGTGGTGGTAAAGAGCAAGCGAGGAGCGGCAGACACAGCTATTTAATCAACGTACGATGTCGGAGAATTAAATCTGAAAAAAATTGGTCATGGGGGCCAGCGCTGGAGACCGCATTGGGACATGGACGCGCGGACATTTGTAAAAAACTAAGAAGCTGCCCAATCAACGACACCCTCGTACACGGTACACAGAAATGTCCTCTCACCAATGTCCATATTGCCCAAAAGCGCCCCCTACAGCTCAAGGATTGAGCTCACACCTCGCTCAATCTCAGCGATGCAAAGAAAAGCTGGCAGCCTTCTATAGAGCTGAGGACTTGTTGAATGTCAACAATGACGAGGATGTTGAGATGGGAGACCAACCAATGTATGCTCCCAATGATCCCGACAGTGACTTGGAATCAGATCCCGATGTTGAACTTGACCCACCGAGAGTCATCCCTATTGCTGAATCAAATCTCTCGGGTGATGAAGGACCTGCCGACCTCAACACGCATTCGAGACGTGCATCAGTTGAAGAGGTTGAAGACGAGGACGATGGAGATGATGCGCGATACATTGAAGACTATGCAGGTGCTGGTTTGCCACATGCTGAAAGGTGTCAGTCCAACTTTAAGCGCCATTTTAACAACCAAAGAGAAGCCGGTGACGCACCTTGGGCACCTTTCGAGAGCGAAGATGAGTGGGAACTTGCAAGGTGGCTGATGACATCCGGTGTCAGTCAGAAGCAAATGGAGGAGTTCCTGAAGCTGAACAAGGTATGTTAGCCATCCACTCGATGCTTGATCTTGTTTTGACGTACCTCAGATTAAGAAGGGGGCGGACCCTTCTTTCCACAATGTCCGGGCACTACTGAAACGAATTGATGCCCTTCCCGGTGGACCTGACTGGACGTGTACATCATTTCGAGTCCAAGGTGACGTTGTTGACGCAAACGGCGCTTTGAAGACAGAGGACGTAGAACTTTGGCATCGTAATCCTGTCGAATGCATCAAAGAATTAATGGGAAATCCAGCGTTCAAAGGCAAACAGTTTTACGCACCAAAGAGAGTGTATAGGAATGCTGATGGCACGAATCGTGAGTTCAGTGAGATGTGGACAGGTGACTGGTGGTGGTTTATGCAGGTTTGTGATTGACAGCTATTTGAGATGGGAAGAAAGTCTTGACGGCGCCTTTTCAGATGGAGTTGCCTGATGGGGTCACAATCGCACCCGTCATTGTGTCTTCTGACAAGACACAGCTCACCCGCTTTGCTGGGGATAAGCAAGCGTGGCCGGTGTACCTGAGTATTGGAAACATTGAGAAAGAAACCCGCCGACAACCTTCCGCATGAGCAATGGTCCTCATTGGGTACATACCTATCTCTAAGCTCAAATGCTTTTCAAGGAAAACACGGTCGCTCGAAGGCTATCAGCTGTTCCACGAATGTATGCGCACCCTTCTCAGGCCCTTGATTGATGTGGGGACAAACGGTGTCGACATGCAGTGCGCTGATGGCTTCATCCGAACCATCTATCCGATCTTGGCATCGTACATTGCCGATTATCCCGAGCAATGCCTTGTCGCGTGTTGCAAGGAAAGTGCCTGTCCAAGGTGTATCGTAAATCCAAAGGAGCACGGCGCCCGACTTTTCTCCGACTCACGCGATCCTGGAATCACAATCCGCGTCTTGGGAGAGAAAGCTGATGGCGAAAACCCACCCGAATTTGATGATCACAGCCTTCGAGCCATCAACCCCTTCTGGGCAGACCTCCCTCACTGCAATATATTCACGAGCATGACGCCCGACATTCTCCATCAACTTCACAAGGGGGTTTTCAAGGACCACATCTCGAGTTGGGCGACGGAAGCCACTGAAGGTGGTGAGGGTGAAGTTGATGCGTGCTTCCAGTGTATGTCCCCTCATCCAAGCCTCCGACATTTCAAGAGGGGCATCTCGTTAACGACACAGTGGACCGGAACTGAACACAAAAACATGGAGAAGGTTTTTCTTACAGTCCTCGCTGGTGCCACCGACCCGGCTGTCATCCGCGCTGTGCGTGGCATTTTGGATTTCATCTATTATGCTCACTTTGAGACCCATACTGACGAATCTTTGGGTCTTCTCGACGCAGCATGGCTCACCTTCCACGATAACAAACACATCTTTGAAGATCTCGAAATACGGAAACACTTCAATATCAGCAAACTTCACAATATCAAACACTACATCGATGTGATCCGATCACATGGAACTGCTGATGGGTTCAACACAGAAGGTACAGAACGCCTACACATTGATCTTGCGAAAATGGGGTACAAGGCAACCAACAAGAAGGAATTCATCAAGCAAATGACGATATGGCTCCGCCGCCAAGAGTCCATCCAACGTTTCTGCCTGTACCTCCAATGGGCCGTTCCGGGCTATACTGCTGAAATCTCGAAGAACGGTAGCGAGGTTGACAAAGACGAAGAGGAGGACGAAGAGGAGGATGAAGAAGAGGACGACGTTAACAGAGTGGCTGCGGGAGATGAAGTGGTGGAAAGTTATACCGTCGCAAAGAAACCTGCGCTGCACAATGTTTCAGTAACGTCCATTGTCAGTGACTATGGAGCAACTGATTTCTTACAGCACCTTACGTCGTTCATCAATACGGAACGACTGGTTGGCGACATTGCGCTGAGCGCAGCATCCGTGTTTGATCTGTACAAGCAAGTTGGATTCGTCCTCCCCCCAATTCCTGAAGTTACTTCGAAACCTACGCCAGATGTCATCCATGCCGTCAGAGCGGTGCCAGCCATGATAACTTCGCAAGGCATAAAACAGGCCGTTCCGGGTCGATTTAGCACAGTACTCGTTCAAGAGAGCCCGAGCATTGTGGCGGGTGGTCCTTTAAGTGGTAAGCCCCAAACCTTCAGACGTAATTCTTTCATCTCACTGACTGTTCCATTGCTAGGACTCCGCGTTGCTCAGGTATGGGTCATCTTCAAATTGCCAGCTGAATTTGGCCAATACAACCACCCCCTCGCCTACGTTCATTGGTACACACCCCTGCGACCCACCCCCAATGATCTCGACACCAACATGTTCACAATTTCGAGGTCCTCTCACAATCATCGCCAGCGCGCATCCGTCATTCCTGTGGCCAAGATAATATGGAGCTGCCACCTTGCTCCAAAATTCGGCCGCAAGATGCCTGATACTTGGACATCATCTACGGTTCTTGATGATGCAACCAACTTTTTTATTAATCCCTACCTTCGCCATCACGACTTCTTCCTTCTATGATATTTAGTTGATCTTCATGTTTCTCGGAAGTCTCGTCGCCGCACAAAATAACATTTTTTTCTTTTCAACTTTATTCCTATTTTGCTCTTCTTGCTTATTGGCTTGGGGGTTATTTCTTCTACCAAAGCTACAGGTCTCCAGTGAAAGGATATGGGGACTACTGACACTTGCCGGACAGCTATTGGGACTACTGACACTTGCCAGACAACTACTCAGTAACTGTACATGCAAGGCCAACTACCCAGACACACCGTGGCTACTCCGTGCTACGGCAAAGGACCAAAAAGTACTGGCGCAATGGATTTCGTCGAGAAACTACTTATAAATTCAGTGTTTCCTGATGTGTCTCCCGTTTCGCCTGGGCTCGTCAGACTACTCAATGTCGAATCACAACCTCGATAAATTAGAAAGTTAGTTAAGATACGCAGGAGGCAAAGTTGGACGGGAACGATTCGAAGGAGGAGTAGGAATGAACGACACATTCAGACTCAGAGTCAACTTAAACATTCTTTGGCTTGAGTCGCTTACATAACAAATACACCACAACAAAGGCAACGTCAATGTTTCTCTGTCACCACACGGCTAGGAGTTCAACGTTAACGTTCAGTTCTCAGTTTTTGCTGGTTGCTCGTGATAAAAACGAACTTCACGCTGCAAGAGTCCCGTGAACTCCTTTCCGAGTTTGAGATGTCTCAAGCAGTCCCATGGCTATATAATCTTGATATAATCAGACAACCTCCCAAGGTCTCAGGGCTCTTTTGATCTCAACGCCATTGTCTACTTGGATATTTTCTCCCAGACGTCTTCAAAAAAAATGGGCGATCCGAGCGATCTCCGCTTTGTACCCTCCTCTTGCGCCACCACCCCCATCGACTGGACCAAAGTCCCCGAAGCATCAAAAAAGTTCCTCCTCGCAGGCTGGACCTACTACTCGTATGAGTCGGACTCCGAGGGGTCAGGCTCACTACCCGCGACCATCGGCGACCTTGCAAAGATGCTCGACGGTTCCAAGTTTTTTGGCTACATGACACATTCAATTTCCACGCTCCTTTCTGACATCAGCGAGTTTGGGCTTGCTGAACACTGCTCTACCAAATCCATTGGTCTTCCAGTAGGCCCGCGCTTCTACATGAAGTTCCTGGACCAGATTGGGTTCGTCCTTTTCGTGCCGGGGTACAGGGATGGGATCATCGGCTACAGCCCAGACATACCATACACTGATGACTGGAATGAAGACGCGGGGATTGCGCGTGACAAAGCACTGGCTGAGGACTATGACGCGAAGCTCTGTAAGGAGGTTAGTCGGATCGGAACGGCTGGGGTAGCATCATTCAAAGAGGTGGCAGGGTGGGAGGGCTCTACGCTGTTGGCGATTCAGGCAAGAATGACATACCACCCGGCGCCCGTGGATATGATACAAGGTTTCAAAAACTTAAACTTGTGGTCTCGCTGAAGTGCCGGAAACGCTCTTCATATTGGTATTATTCTCTATAGTTTGTAGAGTGCAAGCATGCTTTCTGATTTTCGGATTCAAACGTTCTAAGTATTTTATGTGCTGCCAAGACCGAATTGCGTTACTTGTGCGCTGAGGATAGTACGACATCGCTTTCATCTACGTTCCAGATCTTATCCCAGACACCAACACTATATAATCCCCCAATCAAAAAGCCTGTATCCAAGTCATGACTTTGCGGGGCGCCATCACTTTTCTGGGAGATTCAGTGTAGTGGTCAGATAGAGAGTCAGACTCAGACTTCGAGGAGTTATTCACTCCCAAAACACGCCCACTCCCCACGACCATCGACGACCTTGCAAAGATGCTCGACGAATCCAATTTTTTTTGGCTACATGTCACCTGAAATTTGCACGCTCCTTCTCGACATCAGCGAGTTTGGGCTCGCCAAACCCCGCCCGACTTCAAAATCCATTGGTCTTCCAGTGGGCCCGTGCTTCTATATGAAATATCTGTATCAGGTTTGGTTCGTCCTCTTCACGCCAGGGTCCAGGCATGCGATCAGCGGCTACAGCCCAAAAATTCCACATGGTAAGGACTCGTTTGAAGCCACGGGGATTGCGCCTGACAAAGCGGCATTGGCTGAGGATTACGACGCGAAGCTCTGCGAAGAGGTTAGTCGGATGGGAACCCTTGGAGCAGTCGGCCATAATAAGGTGGCTGGGTGGAAGGCTTCCACTGAAAAGCGACCTGGAGTTTGCACAGCTGACGGACAAAGTCATGGAACTTTCAGGTGACCACCCGATGCGTGTGGGTTTGATGAAATTCTATCAAGACTCGCTGTCCAGATTGATGTCATTTGAAGAGATTTTTAAAGTCCAAGTATTCACTCTGATTTCGGATCCAAATGGTCTATTTTCTGTGCTGCCAGGATCAAATTGCGTTTCTTGTGCTTATTACAGTAACAATATTACTACTGAGCCGAGGATACGAATCCTGAGGACCACGCGAGATCCTTTGTTCTGGCCACATGGTCACTTGCGAAGGTGCTAATTTCAGAGGTTCGTCTTTGCTTGAGGGACAGAGGATAGTTCAATGCACTACTAGTAGTGGGTGTCTCGATTACAATACTTCGCAATTCCTGGAGGCGCTTGCACCGTTATTTCGGTCGCGATGTTCCAGTCGCGGACACACTGGCATTGGCATGTAGTTCGAGAGAGCCCGTCTTCAGGTAGCTTTTAAATACAGCTATAAGGACGCATGGAGTAGTGAGAAGTGGGAATGACAACCAATTAGGGCTGTCAGGATCCAACATTAAAGCGCAAAATTTATTGCTGCTGCGGTGACAGACAAAATATGCGAGTAGAAATGCCCCCTCTACCCTATAAAGGGGAGGTTAGATGAACAGTTATCCTCCTAAATAAGCTCACAATTCACGTACTTTCATATCTTCGTTGGATCGCTTGAAGGAGCACCTTCCTCTCATCTCCTGGTAACTTCAGTCTTGTTACAACAGCATCATAGAGTTAGAAGAGTCTTCGGACGTGGTCTGCACGGAAGGGTGGGTGACTCGAAGGGACGCAGCTTCTGTTAGGTATTAAATCACCAAGGTTCGCGTAGGCTAAAGGAACCTGAGGGCTTGACGCCAATCCGCGATCCTACAGAATCGAGTCCGTTTATTGATTTCTTAAATGTTATTGAGCCTATGACTGCAACCAGGTAGAGATATGTCTATCCAATCGACCGAAAACATTCCGTACGCCAGGCAGTGGACCGAGTGACGGGCTCCAACTTTATCGGGTGGGTGGGTCGACTCTGTCTTGTAGGACATTTGAACTGAGCATCTCGAAGAAATCGGTTTAGGTCCAGTTGGAAAGCAAGCAACAAAAAAAAAGCCTCAAGGAACTTGCAAAATTCTACGCCATGGAGCTGTTGGCTATACGTTGTAAGTGATGGTTGAGTTCAAGCCTGGCGCGTTTTCTGACTGCATGAAAACAAATAAACGAACACAACTCCCAAACACGTCCCGCTGCAATTCCTGTCCAGAGTCCATAGCCACCCACACGACCTCTGTGCTCACATCCAACTTAACGCATTCCGCGCCCGGCACTGAAAAATATCGGCAGTTCTACTTTTCTGATCTCCTCTACACCTCAGGCACATCATATCCATGCCTATCGCAATGCATGCGCGTATCCTCCTCGCGAGCTTTGGCTTCCGCCTTCAGCCTGTTCATGACCTTCTTAACCTCATAGTCCCAGTCCGACCGAAGGCAAATGATGATGCCCAGCACAGAGCAATACACCAACGATAGAGTCAGGCCGATCCATAAACCATGTAGCTTCATGTCCCACCAAAAAGCGAGCCAGATGCCTACGGGAATACCAAGGAGGTAGTATGCGCTGGAGAAAGATTAAGTACGTCACGTTAAGTATGGGCAAGTGAAAGATTACCTGAGATTCAGCAAGGCTCCCGTAAACTGTTTACCCATGGCTCTCATAATCCCTCCGGTCACCGCTGAGGTGGCATCAAACACCTGGAAGAGGGCTACCAAAGGCAGCATTGACGCCACCAACGTAATGACCTCTGTATTCCAGTTCCCGGTTAGGTTTCATTCGCAGAAACAACATTATAGCTATTTCGAACCTGGATCGTCATTGAAAAGGTACCCCCAGACGTTGCGAAACACCAGGAACATAGCACTAGGAAAGATGGACGGAGTTATTGGCAAACGAAAGCAAGGCCATAATAACTTGCCTTGGAATCATAGAGAGAACAAGAGCTAACATGATGGCGGTCTTCGCCGCCATTCCAGCCCGCATGGCCTTTTGTTCCCCGAGCAGGTTACCAATTCTGTGTCGATAACGCGATGTGAGCTATCGCAAAACGGAATGACACAAGAGCGGACGCACCGCACAGAAGTGGCCACTCCCAAAGCATAGGGCGCTTGGAAGGTTGTCGATGAGGAAGTTAGTAGAACTGACTGTGTGGCAAGTGACGCGGGACCATGCCTAAGTGACCCCCTCAGTCGGCAGAGGTCCAAAATTAGAAAGTATGAATACGTACAAAGATGCGGCGAGCCCAACCAACTCCCATGCCCACCACTCCGACGCCGTTTGAACTGAGCGAAGGAATTAGCGAATTAGCCAATGAGATGCATAGCCTTACCAACGCCACTCAAGCCTAACTGGATCAGCAGCCCCAAGCCTGTGAACATTCTCCTCGAGGGAGGACACCATGCCGCTCTGTCGACAAAGAATACACCATAAATGATCGAAATGGCTGACACGAGATTGAACGAGATCGCAGTGGCAATTGGAGCGCCAATGAAACCCAGCTGAATGGGTTTAGGACCCCAAACTACGTAGAATGATTAGATGCTGCTTCAAAATGAGGAAAACAGCGAACCAAGGATATAATTCAGGAAAGCATTCAGTGGTGCTACGACAAAGATAATGCGGGTGGGGACTGCGAACAATCCTGTTATAACACAGCTGTAAGCAACCCGGGCTGCCGCTCAAGAGGCGGAATATACCTTGTGACTGAAAATAGCGACTATTGTGAGTTAGGCACGATCACAACAGCATACAAACGGGCGAAGGTATACGTACCGGCTGATACAGTTAAACGCATAGGCTGTCAAAGCATAAAACAGACTTCAGTAACACCACCCAAAAAGGGAACCACACATACATACCTGGCAGCCCTAAGGAAACCCAACGGAGGTAAGTTGATGCCAGGTGGGCTACCTCTGGCTCTTGCCTAAGAGACAGAAGGATGGTTTCTGCGTTGAACCAAACCAAGAACATTGGCTGCAAGAAAAGAATTAATTAATCAAAGTCTACTCGGTCCAAGGAATGCAGACGTGCAATGAGTGACGCAGACATTA